CACAGATGTAGAAAATTTGACTTTTCTCTTCAGAGAGTTGGAAGGGAGAGCTTCATTTTTTCTATGAATGACGCGACTCCTACTGTCTCCAACACACACTTCAAACATGGACTTATCACTCCATTGTACTAAATCGCATTCCAACTGAGTCCAATTTTTAGGCTCTTTTAAATATTTTAGTCTATTTTTCTATTGTTGTGATGATAAAAGTAGCTTTTTCTTAGCCTTAAATAAAATGAAATTTATTAAAAACAATTGGTACTCATTTTTTTAACTATAAATCTTCCTTTGTAAGTACCAAATCCTAATTTGTGGGCCTCTCGGTTACATTTTGATCTAGAAACAAGTTTTCTAATAACGAGACTCCATAAAACGCCTAACTCCATATAATTTTTTTTTTATTGAGTTAATGCCTCGACAACTATGATCATTGGCATGGTACAGTCAGGTACCTAGTGTAGTGTGTTTGTGTGTGTGTAGAGTAATTGTCTTGATACTTAGCAAAGTCGACGTCATTGTCTTTGCTAAGAGACGCTAATTGTATCCGAACGTCTGCGGTCCCTCCGGTGAGTACCCATCGCACATGGATAGAAATTATTTTCATTCATTAATTTTTAATAAACGAAAATTTCTCCACCCAGATGGGATTCGAACTCACGACCTTTAGGTTTAAAGGCAGGCGCTCTTACCACTGAGCCACAGAGGGGGTTCCATATAATTTGCTTGTCGATTTTTCACTGTACGGGTCTTAATGCCGTTCGATCTGCTTCGGTTATTTTACTTTTTCGTACATTTCTAAGTTTTGTGTGACGGCTAAACCTTGTTTGTTTTGTATTTTTGTATCTTCCTGACTATATTTCTTACACTATAACAGTGCTCGCCAACCTCTTCAATGTGTTGAGCTACTTTGTTAATTTTGGAATAAACAGCGAGCTACCCACACGGAAGCCACGTAACGCAACGTAAATGAAATCATCCACAGTTAATCTATCATTATATGTATTTATTTTACTGTTTAACTGTTAATACATAATACATAGGTACTAATAATACACTAATAACAAAATAACTAATATTACTAGTACGTACTTGTTCATAGCTACATTCCTACTTATCAAACAAAGGTATTTGAAAAATAAACACAAACTTTTATCCAGCCACAACGGCATGTCACGTATGATTGAAAAATAGTTTATAATAACAACAAAAAAGTAACGCACTATCATAAACATAAACATTGAAAAATAAAAAAGCACGTTCAATGAGAAGGCTGACACTCATCGATAATTTTTTTAATGTTTGCAGTATAATTTGATGCTGCCATTCAAATACAATTATTTAAATGTTCATCTGTAAGTAGATTACGATATTTGTTCTTAATAAACTTCATATTGGAAAAAGAAGATTTACACAAATAGGTTGAACTGAATAATGCTTTCACTTTCAAGGCAACACGGCATAGAACTGAATATTTGTCTTTACTTAGAATAGGGCAGATACATTCAGTACTTCTAACGATTTTAAGGCTAAATCATTTTGTAACTCAATGACTTCCATTTTTGTTGCAGCGATGTCTTCGCCAAAGTTCTGCATAACACAAGCTGCAAACTGCTGGATATCAATTTCCATAAAAGGTGAAACAACAAACTGCGCTACTAAAGCAATTTCATTGAAATCCTGAAAACGATTTATGAAGTTACTCTTACGGGTAGAAAACTTCAGCTTTTTGATAAATGCTTTTATATCAGAAATTATTTCCGCCAGTTCTTTGTCTCTCCCCTGAAGCTGCAAATTAGGTTCGTTTAATTTCTCTGTAATGCCACGAGAAAACCAAAATCTCCAAGGCAGATAATTTTCTAGTTCCGGAGTCGGTTCATCGCGTTGTTTGAAAAATTGAACTATGCCATATAGGACATCATTAAAACTTTTCAGCACCCGTCGTCTACTTAACCATCGGACTTCAAAGTGAAGGAGTAGGTCCCCGTATTGACAGTCAACTTCATCGGCCAAGGTTCTGAATAATCTTCTTTGTAACGCTTGAGCCTCTAATCTTGTTGTTCTGTCACCAGACCCTTATCACAACCCACCATAGCTGGAGCGCCATCGGTTGTCAAGCCTACCATTTTCGATATTGGAATTTTCTCAGAAGAAATAATATTTTTTAAATGAGAAAACAACTCCTGACTAGTAGTGTGTCCTTTCAGTGGAATGAACTTCAAAAGATCTTCTTTAATCGCAAAATCATTAAAAACCATCCTGACGAACACAGCCATGGCAGTGTCAACGACATCTGTTAATTCATCCAGTTAAATTGAAAAACAAACACAGTTATCTAAGTCAGCTCTTAACTAAAAAAAAAATATCATTGCTCATTACTTCTACACGTCCCATCACTGTATTAGCAGAAAGTTGCGTAGATTTTATAGCTGAAACTATCTCGTCTTTATTTCTAAAGTTGGCAAATAACGAATCAGCAGCTTCTAAAAACGCCTGTTTTATCATTTCCCCCAGTTCATAAGGTTTTTTTTTGTGCAATTATCTGAGACACACGGTACGATGCTTCAGTTGCAGCCTTATTTTTGTCGACTGTTCTTAAAAATATTGATTGTTGTCCAATTAACTGTTTAAGTTTCTCCTTTCTGGCGGCAGAATGTAGTGGGAATGATTTTTCAAAATTAGAATGTACACTTTTATGATGTCTATATTTCCTCTTTTTGCAACGGAGACCGAAGTATTACATAACACACATTTTTATCTTTAACTTCTATACAAAAATATTGTTCTTCCCATTTCGAATGAAAGTGCTATGTCTTTACCTTCTTACAACTGCTTGCCATAATATTATTTTTGTTGTTCTCTACTACGTTCGTTACGCGTTCAGTTTTAAACTAAGCTCAATGTTGCCGCGCCGCGTATTTATGTTTAATATTATGACAATTAGATTTTTTTGTGCAATTTTCGGAAGCTTCTCTGATTTTTGCAGTTTAAATTTTTTAAATTAAAATCGTTGTGAGAGCTACCAGAATTGCCTCCGCGAGCTACCTGTAGCTCGCAATCGACAGGTTGGCGACCACTGCACTATAACGTGACAGTTGCAACATATTCGCGATTTCCGAATTGGTTTTTAAAATACATGTGACATTAACTAACAATATTTTTGTTTTGATGTCATTTTTCCATAGCTACCTCTGGATTTAACGTAATTATGAAAAAATCAACGTTGTTGACATAACTGAATGCTAGCCAGGGTTTAGTGAAATTTCTTTTTATTGTTAAAAATAAAAAAACACCATAAGTGTAATGTTATAAATAAATATTAATAGAAATGCCATATTAATTAATATGGGAACTTATAAAACCATGCAGATTATAATTTGTTAATAATAATCGGCTTAAACTGCAAATTCCATAGGTTGGCACTGATTGTGCGACCTCTACTTCACTATTTGCGCTTTTTCTATTTTTTTAAACTGACTTGAGATTTGCATAACTCATATAAAATGCATCAACCACACACACGTTTATCTGCGGATTAAACTGGTCCCAAAGGGCCTCAATTAGTTTTTTTCAGTAGTAAAATAAGCGTGCAAATTCAATATTACTTGATTTATATCTTAAACACGTCTCGCCATTTTTGCTGTCAATATTCAAACACTTTCCAATCGCAAGTGCTACTATGACAAACTTATTGGGGTACCAAAAATTTGCAATATGTTTGGGAGTATCGTAAAGTAAGGTATCAGTTTCTCCGAATGGTAAAAACCCAAGTACAGGCTATGAGTGGATCAATAAACATATACGCTTATGTTCATATCTCAGAGCTTACTGAATAAAACCACATTAAATTCTTGATAATAACTAATCTAATTGTGACAAATATTTTGCACGTAAATAAAAATAAAAAAAAAATAAAAACATATTTAAAAAATTTGAATATTTTCATAACCTTGTCAATTAATGTGGAACTTTATTATTGGGCAAAAAAGGTAAAACTGTTAGACAAACACACATTTCCGCATAAAATGTACAGTGAACATCAACAATATCAAAAGGATTTACTATAAATTACTTCTCAATTAATACTGTAAAATAAAATTAAAAACGGATTTTTTTGCATTTAAAATTATTTGTTTCATATTTTCAATACTAAAGAAATTTACTTTTGTACCTCTTATGCTGTGCAGTAGAGTAAATTATTGGCTTTTGAGTGTCTAGCGATAATCCAAAACATTGACAAATTGATCAAATATACTTTAGCTATGTCAGTGGTAGACCAATACCCTGAATTTTAACATTAATAATATCAATATCAAGGACATTAATATTTTTATTCACCGTCAGTCCTGGGTCTAACTAGTAAAACAATATTTTTTTGCTAAAATAATTTATAGATAAAATTAGTATCTACACAATAGGACAAACACGAAGAATGACATAAGTGAGAGAGTGCATAACATAGGTTGCTGTATACAAATATGAGATCTCTTACCTGTAATATAGAAATGTCTTAAACATTAACGGTTCACAAAATTATCCAAATAGAGAGAGAGGGAAAGAAAGAGAGGGAGAGAGAAGAGGAGGAGGAGAGAGAGAAAAGTACAAATAGCATAAATATAATCAGTATAAATAACATAAAAAGCAAAACACTAAATATTTCTTACTAATTAATATAAGTCTTTCTAATGTCTACGTACGATATTGTCCATCGTAGTCACTATTCTACCAAGAGATCAAACAGCTAATGAAGATCACAAAGAAAAATGATGTAAACATTATTATGGGAGATTCTAATGATAAAGTAGGTGAAAGGGCCGAAGACGTAGTAAGAAAATGTAGTTGGTTTGGGCCAAAGAAATGATAGAGGAGAAATACTGGTCCAATTTTGCCAAGAAGAAAATCTAATGATCGCAAACACCTGGTTTAATTACTATTGTTGGACCGTCTTATACCTGCTAATGCTTTAAATTTTTTGTGCAATTCCAAACTTACTTAATACTTACCGTATGAAGTCCTGCTAATGTGTCAGCTCCATATTCTGTCACCATAACCGGCTTATTGTGTTTTGTGTGCCACGCTTTAGCTCTTCTTTGAACTTCTGGGATGATCGCATCTACCTCTCCAGGATATTCATACCAAGCCGTATATATATTAAAGCAAAGAATGTCCAAAAATTCACCCTGAAAGTATTTACTTTAAATGTACAGTGTTTTTGTTAAGACATAGTCGTATATTTACAAAACTTTAGGGTTTTGTAAGTTCCTACATAAAATGAATAACAAAAAATGTCATTAGTAAATAGTATATGCATATTAAAATACAAAAAGAGTCGTATATGCTCCAGATGAAAACAGATATGACGAAACCGAATTCTTTTACGAAACACTCCAAAAAGAATATGACCATCTAAATAAGAGTCAATATGATGTAATCGCTAATGATCTAAATGCCGCAGTAGACAAGACTCCAAAACCCATCATATACGGAACCTAAGGGAAGATGACGCTGCATATGAATGGACAATCGCTAAAACATTTTACTTACTTACTTACTCCGTGGCGTTACAACCCTTCGTGGGTTTTAGCCGACTCGACAACATGCCTCCACTGTTTTCTGTCTTGAGCAACCTCCATCCAATTCTCCACGCCCATAGTGCTTAGGTCTCCTGCTATATTATCTCGCCACCGGAGACGAGGGCGTCCGCGTGGTCTCCTTCCAGTTGGGACTTCCTGCCACACCAGTCTTACTGTTCGTTCGTCAGAATGTCTTCTGAGGTGTCCTGCCCATTGGAGTCTTCTGGACTTTATTTCTTTTATGATGTTGGCGTCTGGGTAAAGTTCTTCAAGCTCTTTATTAGTTCTTATCCTATATTGTCCTGATGTTTCATCAAGCACCGGACCAAAGATCTTCCTTAGGATTTTTCTTTCCCAAACACGTAGTCTCTCTTCATTTGCCTTTGTCATCGTCCACGTTTCGCTTCCATACATCACAACGGGTCGTATGATTGTTTTATAGACCTGTATCTTCGTACGTCGTGTTAGTTGTTTTGATTTTATAAGGTTTTGGAGGGCAAAAATACATCTGTTGCCGGTCTGAATCCTGTTGTTTATTTCTTGTGATCCGTTATTGTCTTCAGTTATTGTTGTTCCAAGATACTTGAATTCCCTAACGCGCTCAAAGTTAAAGTCATCGATGGTAATGTTCTGACCGATTCTGTCTCTGCTTTGGTTATTGCGGCTCATATACATATATTTCGTCTTGTTTTCGTTGATTTGGAGCCCCATCTTCTCTGCTTCCTTCTCAAACATTACGAAAGTCTCCTTCATCCTTAATCGCGTGTTTCCTATTAGATCTATATCGTCTGCAAATGCCAGTAGTAAGTTTGGTCCTTCTCGATGAAATACTGTATTCGGTTTTTCGATTCTTGCACTTCTGATTATGTGCTCCAGAGCTAAGTTGAAGAGTTGTGGTGAAAGTGCATCTCCTGTTTTAGTCCATTGTTTATTTCAAATGTCTCCGAGTATTGTTGTCCAACTCTCACCTTACATCGTAACCGTTCCATACACATCCGTATCAACCGGACTAGTTTTTTTGGAAAGCCAAGTTCCTGCATCGCTGTCCACAGTCTGTCCCTACATACTCTATCAAATGCTTGTTTAAAATCTATGAACATCTGATGAAGCTCACGGTCAAACTCCCAGCATTTTTCCATTATCTGTTTTATTGTGAATATCTGGTCAATTGTAGAGCGGCCCGGTCTAAATCCGCATTGATAATCTCCAACAATTTCTTCTGTGTATGTTTTGGTTCTTTCTAGCAGGATGTTTGCAAGGATTTTGTAGGTGGTGTTTAGGAGTGTTATTCCCCTGTAGTTAATACATTGCTTTTTGTTTCCTTTTTTGTGTATTGGTACAATAACCCCTTCTTTCCATTCATCTGGCATTGTTTCTTCTTGCCAAATGTCTTGAATTAGCTTGTATATCGAACTGTACAATGCTTCTCCTCCATGTTTTAAGCACTCTGCGGGTATACCATCGCTACCTGGTGTCTTATTATTTTTGAGTTTTTTAATTGCCTGTATTACTTCTTCGTATGTCGGGTATTGGTCTTCTATTTCAGCTGTATGTACCTCTATGTTTGATGTACTTCTGCTAGATTGGTCATTCAATAGTTGATAGAAGTATTCCTTCCAGGTTTTTAAGATTTCCTTGTCATCAGTGATAAGCTGTCCACTGTCGTTTAGAAGAAAGTTTCCTGTTCTTGCTTGGTACCCGGTCTTGATATCTGAAACTCCTTTAAAGAACTGCCTCGCTTGTTTGTTCTTTCTTTTTTCTTCTATTTCTCTGATTATTTGTTCCTGATACTCTCTCTTCTTCCTTTTCATTAGTTTTCTTGTCTCTGTTCTTCTTTGTCTATACATTTCATTGTTGTTGTGCGAGGGGCTTTGTAGCATGTTCCTTCTAGCCATATTTCTTGCTAATATGGAGTTCAGGCAATCATCATCGAACCATTTTTTTGTTGTTTTCTTTTTGTGTCCTAGTATTTCATCTGATACGCTTGTCAGAGCTACTTTGATATTTTTCCAAGCTGAGTCTATGTTGTTATAGTTTTCTGTCTGTGCTAGAGCGATTTTTATAGCCTTTTGAAATTTCTGTTCTGTCTCCTTATTACGTAGAACTTCGGTATTCCATAATTGTGTTGGTGTATTCTTGTGTGTTTTCTTGGACGCTATTCTTGTCCTTATCTTCGCTTTTACAAGAAAATGATCCGTGTCTCCATCAGCTCCTCTTAGGTTTCTTACGTCTAGACAGTTACTACCCCTCCTGGCATCTACTAGAACATGATCAATCTGATTTCTTGTGACGCCGTCGTTGGAAACCCATGTTTGTTTGTGTATATTCTTGTGTTCAAACATTGTCGATTTTATTAGTAGATTGTGGGATGCTGCAAAGTCTATTAGCCTTGTTCCATTATCGTTGCTAACATCGTGAAGACTATGGTTACCTATTGTTGGTTTGTACGCTGCTTCCTTCCCAATCTTTGCATTGAAATCTCCTAAGATAATATGCATGTCCTGTTTAGGTAAATTATTTATCAGTTCCTCTAGTTTCTCGTAGAAGTTATCTTTTACATGCTCTTCCTTTTCCTCTGTCGGTGCATGGGCAGCAACTAGGGAATAGTTATGTAGTTGTCCTTTGATTCTGATATAACAAAGTCTTTCATTAACGGGTTTGAAAGTTAAAACTGACCCCACAAGACTTTCCCTGACTATAAAACCAGTTCCGAATTGATGTTCTCGTTCGCTTCCGCTGAAAATACTACTGATTTATTAGTTTTTAGTGTACCTTCTCCAGTCCATCTAATCTCTTGTAGAGCAGTTATGTCCATGTTTCTGGATTCAAGTTCTTTGACCACCTGAGTTAGGGCTCCAGGCCGATATAGGCTTAGTACGTTCCAGGTTCCTATATTCATTGTCCTTTGTCGTCGCTTTTGTCGTCTTAAAAGATCCGTCCTTATCCGAGGCATGTGCTTCGTTTTCATAACTATGTTTTTTTACAAGAAGGAATAGTTAGTCCCTTGCTTAACCCTCCTCCTTTCTCATCCTGGACTTGGGACCAGGCAACGGCGGAGTTGCAGATATGAAAGTGGCAAAACATTTTGCCACTTTCATATCTGACAAGAAAGTCAAAAAGTAAAATAATCGAAAACAGCTAAAGCAAATATCGTTAAATTTATTCATGTTTTTATGGGAGAAGAAACAAATAAATACCAAAATATAGCTGAAACCAATCTGGTTATTCCAATAACAACAAATGAAAATAGGAATGCAGAATGCAATACCATTAGAGAAAATGTACATAAAAGAACTTCAGAAGTACAAGGAGACCAAAAATCTATAAGAAGAGATGACTTTAACCCTCCAGTACACGCGCGGATTACATACGTAATCCATTGAATTTTATAAAATTGCTATTCGGACCATATTGTATATAGAGTTGCCTATCTTTCAATACCTTCGGGGCATAGTATTTTCTCTTTATACTATGGTATAAGGAACTGTTTTAGTATCCGACTGTCGCTTGATGTGTGTAGGTGTAAGACATAGATTGTGTTCTGTTACCATTGTAATCCACGCGTGTACTTACGTAACCCTAAACTAAAAATTATATTTTGTATTCGGCGGTTAAGGTAAGTTTTTTACGTGAAAAAGAGTAACAAATATTTATTTTTTATTTTTGTTTTAGTTATCAGCAACGTCCCGACCAAAAAAAGTAAGATTCGGCGACCCCAATTTTGAAAAAATGCTAATGGAATGGAACAATGAAATAGAGAACGAACAGGAGCCGAATATAGATGGTAGTGATTACGACAGCTGCTCAGATGACCATATTGTTGAGGAATATGTATCTGATGATGTTGTAGAACAAGAATGTACCATGTCTGAACAAGAATCGGAACAAGACTGTGATGAAGAGGTTCAAGGGGAAGAAGATGAAAAAATAATTTCAAAATACTATCCTGGCAAAGACAAAAAAACAAAGTGGAGTAAGATGTGTCCTCCGCCTACTTCAAGAACTCGTGCAACAAATATTGTTTTGAAGTTACCAGGACCAATAACAGAAGCTCGAAACGCAAAAACACAGTTTGAATGCTTCAAATGTATGCTAGATGATAATATAGTCAAAGAAGTTACGCGTTGTACCAACATTTATATTGAGAAGGTAAGAGCAAATGTCCAACGCTACAGAGATGCTAAAATGACCGACGTCGAGGAGATTTGGGGACTTATTGGTATACTCTTTTTAGCAGGTGTTCTAAAATCTGGAAGACTAAATGTTTTGCAAATGTGGAATAATAAGAAAGGTACTGGTGTTGAAGCTATTTACTTGACAATGTCTTTAAATCGTTTCCGATTTCTACTGAGATGTTTAAGGTTTGACGACTTTAATTCTAGACAACAAAGGAGAGAGCTGAATAAACTTGCTCCTATACGAGACATTTTTGGACTTTTTATTGAAAATTTTCAAAAAAATTTTACACCTTCAGAATATTTAACAGTTGATGAGCAATTACTTGCTTTTAGGGGAAAATGCCAATTCCGTCAATACATCCCCAGTAAACCATCTAAATATGGTATAAAAATATTTGCGTTAGTAGATAGCAAATATGCATATACCTATAATATGGAGATTTACTGTGGAACACAACCAACTGGTCCTTTTGAAACTGATTGGAGTAGCGCAGAGGTTGTTAAAAAAATGGTTAAACCGCTAGAAGGAACGTGCAGAAATATAACCATGGATAACTGGTTTACCAGTATACCTTGGGCCATGGACTTGCTTCAAAAGCGATTAACTATTATTGGTAAGATTCGTAAAAATAAGAGGGAGCTACCACAAGAATTTATAACGTCTAAAAACAGAGACATACATTCTTCACTATTCGGATTCCTCCAAGAAAATGTACGCTGGTAAAGTACGTTCCAAAAAAAAATAAGGTCGTATTAGCTGTTTCAACCATGCACCATGATAGCAGTATTAATCCTGAAACAGAAGACAAGAACAAACCCGAAATAATAACGGATTACAATAAAACAAAATTTGGTGTGGATCTGGTTGACCAGTTGTGTGCACAATATGATGTTTCCCGAAACTCTCGGCGTTGGCCACTCACCGTGTTCTTTGATTTATTAAATATATCAGCAATTAATGCATTTTCCCTGTATAAGGCTAATAATGTCACTGCATCACTTCCAAGAAGCACATTTCTTCAGGACATTTCGTTTGAGTTAATAAAACCACTAATGTTAAGGCGACTAGAGAACACTTACACATCAACAGAAATAAAAGAAAAAGTTAAATTTCTTTTAAAAATAAATAAGGAAACTCCTAAAGAAGTTCCGACTCGCTCTTCGGCCCTTGGGCGTTGTCATATTTGTGGACGAGCAAGGAATAAGAGCACAAGAAAATGGTGCAGCAGCTGTGATCAGTGGACTTGCCCTGGACATTTAAAGCAAATATGTGTACATTGTGCTGAGATAAAACAAAACATGCAGTCTGAATCAGATTAATATATTGTATTTAGGATATTAGAGAACGTAGTTTGGTTTGTAATGTTTGGTTATAGGTAACTTTGATTTATAGTATTTCTTTTTTCATTTTCATTGTTTTTCGATTTTTTTTTAATTTAATGTATATTTTACTTATAAAATAAAGCCAATTATAGGTTACAGTGGTAATATTAAAAAATTAATAAAACAATATCACTATTTTCAAAAAATATTGCTTTTCCAGAGCTCCAGTACGTATGGATTACTAATGTAATCCACGCGTGTAGTCACGTAAGAAAATAGGGCGCGTGTACTTTAGGGTTAAGTATGGAACACCAAATTTAAAAACATCATTAAAAAGAAAAAGTAGCTTATTCAACAACTACAAAATACAGATAAAAACAAAGAAATATGCGGAATAAGGCGCATTGGAGCTAAAAATACACAAGAAATGCTCAACGCTCTAGTTGGGACAAATATCCCAAATCAGATTATCTCGAGGAGCAAAAATACATTTTGGAATACCCAAAAGGTAAAGTCAACGAATGGAACAGTCTAGAATGTCTAACCCGTGAAGGCTGATGATGATGGTTAAAGCTTTGTTATATTTCAAAATTTATTATAAAAATAAAATTATATAAAACTTTTACTCACAGTATGATCAACATCAGGCTGTTGTGCATGAGCAATGGTGAGAGGTCTGGTGGTATCAAGAGATCTCATGTGATTGGCGACTTGTCTAAAAATCGTCAAATTGCCGTTACCTATGAAGTTACCAACAATGTGACGTACTGCTTAATGTTGTTTAAAACATACCTGAAATAATCCTTGGAACTAGCTTCTTGAGAACTGGGTTCATTGGCTATGGACCATATGACTACACTGGGGCGATTTTTGTCTCTATTATAAATTTCTGTCAGTGCTTTAAGGTGGTTGCCCAACAACCCATCATTAAAATTACTGAAAAATTCACAAATTAAAAAAATATTTAGTTAAAATTACGTACTAGAGGCATGCCAAAACAAATAGTAAAAAAATCGTAGAATAGTTTCGAAAAACAATTCAGATTTCTGCTTTATAATTTGAGCCTTTTAAAAATTGCAAGGCAAACAGACGTTGATAAAAGATGTTAAAAAAGACATGGGGAATCTAAAATTTGCATTACACGAAATGTCTTTTACAACTAAGCAGAAATCCTTAGCGAATTGTGCTTCTAGTACTCACACAGAGTAAATCCGAATAAAATGAGAAAAGGCAGCAAATATTTGATTTCACGCAAACAAATCCTATGTATATCTTGATACGTATTTCGACCTAATAGGTCTCATCAGAAGAGCTATTCATAGGGGTTCTCAACGTGAAAAATCAATATTTTCTGCCTTTTAAAAAGCAACAATAACATGGCTTCAATACGGACGCAATAGCGACATCTAATTACAAAAATCGTAAAATAGTTTCGAAACACAATTTAGATTTCTGCTTTATAATCTGAGCCTTCTAAAAATTGCAAGGCAAACAGACGTTGATAAAAGATGTTAAAAGAGACATGGGGAATCTAAAATTTGCATTCCACGACATGTCTTTTACAACTAAGCAAAAATCCTTAGCGAATTGTGCTTCTAGTACTCACACGGAGTAAATCCGAATAAAATGAGAAATGTGCGAATAAAATATGAATTGAGTTTCGAAACTATTTTACGATTTTTGTAATTAGATGTCGCTATTGCGTCCGTATTGAAGCCATGTTATTGTTGCTTCTTAAAAGGCAGAAAATATTGATTTTTCACGTTGAGAACCCCTATGAATAGCTCTTCTGACGAGACCTATTAGGTCGAAATACGTATCAACAGATACATGGGATTTGTTTGCGTGAAATCAAATATTTGCTGCCTTTTCTCATTTTATTCGGATTTACTCTGTGTGAGTACTAGAAGCACAATTCGCTAAGGATTTCTGCTAAGTTGTAAAAGACATGTCGTGGAATGCAAATTTTAGATTCCCCATGTCTCTTTTAACATCTTTTATCAACGTCTGTCTGTTTGCCTTGCAATTTTTAGAAAGCTCAGATTATAAAGCAGAAATCTGAATTGTGTTTCGAAACTATTTTACGATTTTTGTAATTAGATGTCGCTATTGCGTCCGTATTGAAGCCATGTTATTGTTGCTTCTTAAAAGGCAGAAAATATTGATTTTTCACGTTGAGAACCCCTATGAATAGATGTTCTGACGAGACCTATTAGGTCGAAATACGTATCAAGAGATACATAGGATTATTTGTTTGCGTGAAATCAAATATTTGCTGCCTTTTCTCATTTTATTCGGATTTACTCTGTGTGAGTACTAGAAGCACAATTCGCTAAGGATTTCTGCTTAGTTGTCAAAGACATGTCGTGGAATGCAAATTTTAGATTCCCCATGTCTCTTTTAACATCTTTTATCAACGTCGGTCTGTTTGCCTTGCAATTTTTAGAAGGCTCAGATTATAAAGCAGAAATCTAAATTGTGTTTCGAAACTATTTTACGATTTTTGTAATTAGATATGGCTATTGCGTCCGTATTGAAGCCATGTTATTGTTGCTTCTTAAAAGGCAGAAAATATTGATTTTTCACGTTGAGAACCCCTATGAATAACTCTTCTGACGAGACCTATTAGGTCGAAATACGTATCAAGAGATACATAGGATTTGTTTGCGTGAAATCAAATATTTGCTGCCTTTTCTCATTAAATAGTAGTTTACTTCATGAATCAGTCTATGACTGGTGCTACATCAAACTTAGGTCAACTTTTTAAGAGTAGTGTTAGATTAAATAAATATTTTTAGGGCGAGCAGAAATAAATTCATTAGAAGAAATTTTTTTGAGTGTTAAAATGTTTGATTTTTTAATCACATACATTATATTTTTTCTACAAAATAAATTGCAGAATTTTTTTCCTGCAACATAAAGCTATTTTTAACATACATATGGCACCTCTTGTACTTGATGGTATTCATAAACATCTAGGATTTTTTTGTATTTTATTTACAGTGCACAACAGGCCTTGTAGGCAAAGCCAAAAGTTGCTTTTAAAATACTTTGTTATTTTTTACTAAGTTCTTGACAGTATTTTTCAATCCTTCCATCTTCTGCTTATTTTCTTCAGTCCAAATCACCTACTTTGTTTAAGCTCTTAACATTTTCTACCCACCTTATTGTTTCTATCCTTGGTCTTCCTTTCCTACAACTTTCTATGGGTCTAATACGTAAGACCATATTTGGCATTCTTCCCACTGGTATTCCTTATGTAAGCCCCAGTCACTCATCTATAATTAAAGGCTTTTTTACTACTCATATACTTCGTGGTTGGTTCTTTTCTTCTGCAGTCAGCTTACTCTTCATCCCCCTCAAAATGCTTCTCAGTATTTTGCGTTTCTCAGCTTTGTTTTTCTGGAAAAAAATTTAGATCTTAAAAGACTTTCATATTTTCGATTGAGTTCTGCAAGTTTTCGTTCTTTTATAGATGTAATAAAATATACCATAATATATCTCTCAAATCCGCAAACTCTTCGACCTTCCCAAATTTATACAATATATCATCTTCTGTTTTAACTTTAAATTTCTTCATAGCTCTCTTTCCTCCCAACAAAGTTTACGATCATCCTTTTAATCTCTCTCTCACAATTCTGCTAAATATTTTAGAACAAGTGTCAAGCAGAGCGATACCTCTATGGCTTTCGCAAAGCATCTTTTGGTTTTTCTTTTTTCTTCTTGTTTTTAAAAGTCACATTCTGTCATTTGTAGCTTGAGGCCATTTGTAGACTTTATAATAATATCGGAAAGAATTATGCTAATACAAACGATGAAAACACATGGAAAATTAAACCTTATACAGATATATGCGACAACCGCCGATAAAACAGAGAAAGAATTTGAAAAATTTTACGATTACCTTCAAAAAACCCTAAAAAATACAACATCTAGAGATATAACAGTAGTCATAGGTGATTTTATTGCCAAAGTTGGAGAAGGAAGATGTGAGTCTTTTTGTAGAACCGTATGGACTCGATGTTCGATATGAGAGAGGAGAACACCTTATAGAATTCTGTCTAAAATATAATCTTGCAATGAATACTTTTTTCAAACTGCCTAAACGACGCCTTTACACTTGGAAGTCGCCAGCTGATAAGGTCGATAAAATTGTTAGAAACCAAATTGACTATATTTTAATAAACCACAGATACCTAAACGCAATAGAATCGGTGAAAGCGTACCCAGGTGCAGACGTGAAGTCGGACCACAATCCTCTAGCCAAATTCCAACTTCACTTAAAAAAGATACAAAAAGCTACAAAAGTAATAAACGAAACATACAAAAATTAAAATCAGAAGACCTCAAAGAAAAACTAAAACAAGAAATTAATGCAAACCTAGAATCCACGCCGGAATCAATTGATGGTGATGTGGAACAGTGACAACTCTATAAAAATGCAATTATTGAACCAAGTCGCAGAGAACTCACAACAACCAGATGCAAGAAAAGAGATTAGATGACAGAAGAAATCTTGGAAATGATGGAGGACAGAAAAAGGCAAAAGAATATCAACATAACTCAGTGTCAACAGCTGCATAATCAAATAGGAAGGAAAATAAGAGAAGCTAAAGAGACTTATTTCGCTGGAAATTGCCAAGAAATACAAGACTTACAAAATACATATGATAACTTTAATCTCCGCAACAAAGTTAAATAATTAGCTGGGGTAGCAAAACAACAAACCTCAAGCATACTATTGGACAAACAAAGAAACATTTATGTGGAGATAGAACAAAAATTAGGAAGATGGAAAGAATATATAGAGGAAGTATTCCATGACCAGAGTCAGGAAAATATATATGAAGATAATCAGAGTAAAGATAAGGGACCCGAAATAACAAGTATGCAGTAAAATCCATGAAAAATAATAAAGCTGCTGGTCCAGATAAAATATTAAGTGAATTGCTAGAATTGGTCAATAAAAAAACATAAAACTTCTACTCCAACTACTGAACACAATCTATTCCACAGAAATCATTCCACGTGAAATGCTGACATAAATATTCATTTCTCTACAAAAGAAAGTAAATGCCAAAGAATGTAGTGATTATCGAACGATCAGTCAAATGGTCACATACCTTAATCCCTGCTAAAACCATCCATAATAGAATACACGCTAAGCTGGAGATAGATATTAGTGATTCCCGGTTTGGATTTCGGAATGGAGTGGGCACAAGAGAGGCACTATTTTCTGTTAATTTGCTAACCCAAATATGTTTGAATGTTAATCGAGATCTTTATGTAAGCTTTAGATACTACAACAAGGCATTCGATACGGTAAAACATGACCGACTTATAGAAGTACTCAAAAAAAAATATGGATGTAAGCGATGTATCATTGATATCAAATTTATGCTACAGCCAACGATCAAATGTGAAAATTGCAAGAGAAGTGTCAGAAGAAGTGGAGATAAGGAAAGGGATCAGGCAAGGTTGCATATTGTCGCCGTTATTGTTTAATGCTTATTCTGAAGAAATCATACAAAAAGCTTTGGTAAACGAGACAGTCGGCATAAAAGTGAACGGAAGTTTAATTATCAACATTAGGTATGCCGATAACGTGTTTGAAATGTGGACATTTAGAAGATTGTTAAGGATTCCACGGGTAGATAGGGTCGCGAATACAGAAGTGATAAGGAGAATAGGCAGAGAGAGGGATATGGAAAATACAATAAAAGAAAGGAAATTTCAATATCTCGGACATGTGATGAGAGGCGAAAAATACAACATCTTGAGACTTATAATTCAAGGAAAAGTAGAGGTTAGGAGAAGCGTAGGAAGAAGACGCGTTTTCTGGTTGAATGAGAGAGTGGTTTGATTACAGCTCAAGGAAATTGTTCGGAGCAACTGCGTCGAAGGTCAGAATAGCCATAATGATTGCCAACCTTCGTCGTGGATATGGCACTTAAAGAAGAAGAAGCTTGAGGCCATGAGCAGATAGAAAAAGCAATGGTTGACGACTTACACGATGGGCAGACGACGTCAAAAGAATCGTTGTGAATTGGTTGCAGGGGTGAGGAGGTTACTTAATCTTTTTTTGCATTTTTTTCCGTTTTATTTGCAATGGTCATATTTTTTCTTCTCCTTTGATTTCTGTATGAATTTTTTTGACATCTTTAAGGATGTAGAACATTTGTGCCAAATTTATTTCTTCTCTTCTTTTTGCATATTTCTGTCGTTTCCATTTAGATCATGGTTAATAAAAATGTTTTCTTTTCTGATTTCTGATCTAGTGATCTTAGCGATCATCAAAATCAGGAATGTGTTTCCTTTAGTTTTCTTGTTGTTACTATTTGGATCTGTAAGGTTAGTTTTTTTTCCCTGACATTGCACTTTTTAAATCATTTGCATTACTTGTGTTCAGTCTTAGCCCATCTAATACAATATTATTTACTCTACTCCTTTTGTCAATCCCTTCCATCTCTTTCTAAGTCATTTAGTTCTTGCTTCATTGTTTCTTTCTCCTTTAGTATTTTTTGTAGTTCTTTATTAGGGTACTGTTGTCTCTTAAGAATTCTAATTTCTTCTTTAAATTATTTTTCCTTCCTTCTTAATTTTTATAGTTCCCTTTTTACTACGTTCTTATCACCTTTTACATCTACACCGATTAAAATAACCTATCTAACTCATCTTCACTCTTAAATTTGATTGGCGTTCTAAACGCCTTCTTACTTCTCCGAAAAGATTCCATTTTAGCAATATATATTCCTTACATTTTTGGGAGATACGACAACGTTGCAATAGGACTGGACGAAATTCGTTTCTTGGATTTACTGATACCCGTTATCTATTAACTTACGATTTTAGGTTGACAAGCGTACTCTTAGTTTTTAGTTTTTAGTTTTTCTTCACCATAGTACGAAAGTTTTATAATAGCGCCACTTTCCACATACTTTCAGAAATTTATTTTCCGTCATTTCTCACGTGTTTGCGGGTTAAACTAAATGGTAGTAAATCGCTATTAGCTTACTCTGTGCCACGTTGCTCAGTGAGGAGTTGGTATGCCCTTAAAAACATATTAGACTGGCCCATCTACATTACCTCCGAAAAGATAGAGGTCATTAATTATTTTTTTTTATTTCAAACCATGCTTTTGAGGGTATTGTGTATAGCTCAAGCATCATTTTGGAATTTTATTTTACTCCGTACGAGCAATTCTAATGGTAAAGTAAATTTGGTTTCATCGTAAAAAATTAAATTTTGTACCAATAGCGGGTGTCAGTAGCAGTTATGCATCATTGTTAGTTTTGCAAAATTCTATTTGTCTATCTGCATTCTATCGTTTAATTCCTATACATGTTGGATTCTAAAGGGATTACACTTTTGTAGTTATCTGTATAACAAGACAATTACTACAGTTATAAAGTAATTAAATAAAGACAAAATTTAACTAGAAATAAATAAATTTTTACACCTTGCGATATATGTACTACCGAATATATTTCAAAAATATCAATTTCGACTCTCAAACTTAAAGTCTAATAAAAACACAAAAACCAGGTCTTACGATAGAGCAACTGCAGGAACCTCGTCGACTATCATTATCCCAAGGCTGTCAGCCAGATCCATAATCTCTTCTGCGTAAGGGTAGTGGGATGTTCTGTACGAATTAGCACCGATCCATCTAATCAAATTGTGATCTCTTAATATTAACGGAAGATCCAGACCTTTACCTCGGATATCTGAATCTTCATGTCGTCCAAATCCTCTAAAGTATACTGGTTTGCCATTTATGGTGAACGATGTGCTATTCCATACCAATTCTCTGATACCAAAAGACTGAGTGTAAGTGTCTAGTAGTTGTTTTCCATCGAAGAGTTCAACCTAAAAGATAATATAAAATATCATAAAGAAATTTTTTTTTTTTTCATCTTTTTATGTGGACATGGCTGTCTGTTTTTCAATGTACCTCCAGTAAGTTGTCGTTCCATCATTTTTGTGGTCTTCCTAGTAATCGTCTTCTTATTGGGGATCCGTCTCTCGCCCTCTTGACTACTATGTTTGTTGTCGTCATACGTTTTATACAACTGTTCCAATCTACTCTTCTATTCTTATTCAGTTCTTGATGTTCCTCACATACATCGTAGACTGTCTCTTAGTATCTTACCATCAATTTTTCTAAGAGCTTCCATCTCTGCTATTTTTAACATTATTTTTGTTCTTTCTGTGTCAGGTCATGTTTCTGAAGAGTATGTCATTATTGGTCTGGTGACTATTTTTTAAATTCTGCCTTTCATTTCTCCACCAATATTTTTATTTCTCCTTATTGTTTCATTCAGGCAAACTGCAGCTCTGTTTGCTCTATTTACTTGATCTTTCACTTCGTTTTCAAGTTCTCCGTAGCTAGATTGTGCGATGCCTAGATAATTAAACTGCTGCGCAAAAGATTCCTACTGATCTTTTGCCCTGTACTTTTCCTTCCAGTATAAATTGAACTAAGTCATATCTTTCGCTTCTCAACACATGACCCAAGTATTGCATTTTCCTTTCTTTGTTTATTATTAGTATTTTTTTTTGTTTATACATGCAACGAAATACCTCAAGATTAGTAGTACCCAATTTTCTGTTATAACTATGCATTTCGTCTTTTTTGTTGTAATTTTCCTTGGTTGAGGCTTGTTATTTTCTAGGCCGTATACTCCTTCAGAAATTGATATTATCATAGTATAATGTACAGAACAAGGAAAAGAGGACTACATTTATCTAGTTTGTTTTATGTAACTAAGGTAACTAGAATAAGCTCTTTTACATATTCCGGTTTTTGATGCCTAACTGTTCCTCCGGTAGGGATCTACAAAGGGCCGTAAATCCTTATCTTTTGCCGTCCTACTCGATATTTTCCTTCAGAAGCGACTGAACGTTTTATTTTAATTTAAAAATTAGAATTAAGAAAATAAGAGAAAATATGATTTGGTTTTGGAAGTAGTTTTGTTACTTGAAGGTATTTACTCTGTATGCAAATATGATTAAGAATGACACAAAAGTTAATAGTTTGTTATTTTACCTTTAAACTATATAAATAACCGGTATCATTGTGCATCAGAAAAGGCCACCATAAATTCGCATCAGTTATTTCTATTTGTCCATTAAGTGAATCACTGGAAATAATAGCTTTTTTGTCTTTATCTAAAACTGTAACTCTTGTCCCCACTTTATTTTTTGTTCCTCCTAAATCCACTGTGTATTGAACAATACCTACAAGAAATACAAAAAAGATTCTTTTGAAAAAATCATAAAAATCAAAGCATGGAATAAAGCAAAAACGTTTTAAAACATTTATTTAGTTTGTTTCTCGTAGCACATACCTATAAGTTTTAACACATTATAAACATATTGTATGAAGCAGTGTATACATATTACACATATATTTCTCTCTCTCCCCCACTCTTGTCGTTTTCCAATTAGTCTCTGTCATTAGCTGCTCTCCCATAAGCTTTCTCCATTAGTCTCTGCTTTTAGCTGCTCTAAAGAATTCTGCACAAAAGAAAAGTTTTGCAGAATAAGTGGCTCGCTGAATTCTACATTTGATCAGACCATCTGGTTGGTGACCGCCCTCTTGGTCTTCTGCCCGAAACTTTTCCAGAAACAATTAATCTCTCTAAATGATCATCTAAATCACCGGGTCCAGACGGGCTCACATCAGAACTTCTTAAGCTTGTGGAAGGCGAATCAGTGAATATTCTACTCGACCTTTTTAACTGCATCTACAAAAGAGGAGAAATACCAAAGGAATGGCTACTTTCAACTTTTGTAACCTTACCAAAAAAGGCAAATGCAAAACAGTGTACTGACTACCGCACTATAAGCTTAATGGGTCATACATTAAAAGTATTCATCAAAGTAATCCACTCAAGAATTAACAGAAAACTAGATGCAGATATCAGTAATACTCAATTCGGATTTCGGAACGGGCTTGGAACAAGAGAAGCACTATTTGCACTTAACGTCATATGCCAAAGATGTCTAGATATAAACCAAGATATATATATATATATATATATATATATATATATATATATATATATATATATATGTGCTTCATTGATTACAACAAAGCGTTTGATAAAGTTCGTCACGATCACTTAATGAAACTGCTAGTAGAAAAAAACTTGGATAAAAGGGACATTAGAATTATCTCTAAGATTTACTATAACCAGAAAGCAAATATACGAATAGAGCAAGAGACAACGGAGGAAATCGAGATCAAGAAAGGCGTAAGACAGGATTGTATACTCTCACCGACCTTATTCAATCTATACTCCGAAGACATTATAAACACAGCACTTTCGGATCAAAATATAGGTATTAAGATAAATGGCATCCCAATAAACAACTTGAGATATGCCGATGACACGGTACTAATCGCAGAAACTTGGAAAGATCTTCAAATACTAATTAACAAAATAGTAGAATGCAGTGAAGAACACGGATTATCACTTAACATAAGCAAAACAAAAATAATGCTAATATCTAAATCACCACAAACTTCCCTGACATAACCGTGCATGATCAAAGAATCGAACGTGTAAGAAGATATAATTACCTGGGAACTGTTATCAACGAAAATAATGATTGCTCTGAAGAAATCAGAACCAGTATAGAGAAAGCTAGAGCCACATTTACTAAATTGAAAAACGTGTTCTGCGGAAGAGATCTAAGTCTAAAACTAAAAATTCGCCTTTTGAGATGTTACGTTATGTCAGTTCTCCTCTACGGGATGGAAACATGGACATTGAAAAAGGTCGATACCAAAAAGATAGAAGCATTTGAGTTGTGGATGTATCGTAAAATATTAAGAATACCCTGGACAGAGAAAGTAACAAATGTGGAGGTTTTGCGGAGAGTGCGGAAAGAGAAAGAGCTGATACTTACTGTTAAAAAGCGCAAACTACAATATTTGGGACATGTTATGAGGGGAGATAAATACCAGTTGCTGCAATTGATTATACAGGGAAAGATAATGGGAAAGAGATCTATAGGAAGAAGAAGGCATTCATGGTTGAAAAACTTGAGAGAATGGTACAATTGCACCAATTATCAACTGTTTAGATCTGCAGCATCAAAAATACGCATAGCTTTGATGATAGCCAAACTATTTTTGGGAATAGATTTGACAAGTGCAGCAAATATTCTCATTGTGTTTTTTAATTTTCATTTCAATTTTTGTAGACGTCGGCACGTAAACCAGACTGCAGAGTAGCACTCTGCAGTAGAGAAAATATGGCTTAAGGCAGGTGATCGTCTGGTAAATGCCGATGCTTCCTATATTGTGCATAGCTTTCGGATGATATTGCTTGATTTCAATTTTTCCGCTGTTTTTGTTAAAAATCTCTATTTTATCGTGACGTTTGATTTCATTTTTGGAAGTACTTTCCGACTATGTCTATGTCCAGTCATAGGAATAACCAAACTTTGTCAATTGGTTCTAGGCATGTCGCTGGTATGCTAGGCACTAGTATCGCTGTAAAGAGTAAAGAGCAGAGGTTCTAGGATAGAACTTTAAGGCAGGCTATTCTTCAGTTTGCTTGGTATACTGATGTCCCATCATCACTATAGGAGAAGCTTGTATATTTTACGTTCCTTCCAAACTGTCACGTAAGCCACTGTTGGGTCTATGAATGCGTCTTTAGTTTTAAGTTTTTTTCTGGAACCCTACCACCAAGGGGGTAACTACAAAGAGTAACCTGTGCAATTTATCTTTGGCCGGAAGACTCTCTGCTTTCAAGACAAATACACCAGTAATGAAAAGAAAAGTTTAGTAGTCAAATTTAAAATGATTTGCAGATAAGACAAAATTGCTTTCGCTTACAAAATGATCAAATAAATAAATAAAACAGAAAAAGCAATCGTATGGTTTATTTTCACCTATGAAATGTTTAACGTTAAGAACTCTTGCACACAATACGGAAAACTATAAAATTTTATTAGATTATTAAATTATTAAGACAATGATGAATTTTTACTGATACTTATTTTTTGATTTAAAAGACTTACCAGTTGTACCTTTAACGCGAGTAGTTATAGTTATGTCATCTATGTAAATTAAAGGTGTTGTATACAGAATAACTGGTCTATCGATTCCACCGTAATTGAAGAAATCAAAGGGAACAGACTGGATAACTCTTCCATTGCTAAATATTAAGAGATACTTTTAATTAGAGGGAATGTAAACAAAATGACATGTAGTTTTGTTTTTGTATCATAATTTTTTATTGGTAGTTTACAGCATATCCATTGCTTACATCATTCATCTTTGATCCTTAAATTATCTAAACTAATAAACATTTTTAGCAAAAAATATGTAGAAAAAAAAATTTTAACTGTGATCAATCATAATGCATTTTGGTAATATGCTTTGGACAAAATGACATAAAGGACAAAATAATATACTTATAATAGCTACAAAATAATTGGCATAATACGCAAATAAAATGTGTGGTTTTTCTTGGAACGTCAGCGTAAGAAGCGTAAGCCCAAATCGAACATTGTAAGCACCGGAACCAGTCTTTTTCGGGCTTAGATCTTATATAAGGTCGTTACAGTAAATGCAAGTACAGTTAAGTCATACAAATGCAAGTCATAAAGAAGAATATCAATGAAATATTCTTCTTTATGATTTCTTTACATAATTTTTTAGTGGCTTTTAGTTTTTTTGTTGGGGAACTTTTGCTTCGTTTTTAGATTTTATTTCCAACATATTAGAAGTACAAGTCAACACCAACAAGCTCTTTCGAATTTTTGGTTTACATTTCCCTTGGCCACTAATAAAATATCCTTTTGCTACCTCAATAAAAATAGCGAGAGAAAAAGACGATGGATATACATTGGTAGCAACAGCAATTAAAACAACTACTAGACCGGAGTTTGTTATTTAAACCTGAGATGCATTTTCACGTTGTGGGTAGGTAAATGTTGTTATTTCGGTTGCAATATTTTTTTCAGATATCGTAACATCAGATATCAGATGTCGTTCTAACAAATATACTTGTATATTCTAGTGTTGTATTCTTTATTACACCTTTCATCAGGATTATACTAGCGGCCAGATACCAGTGCGTTAAATCCATGCCATGCATTTTGCTCCGTATGTCATATGCTTTGTTGAACAAACCGGCGATCTGAAGATGCGTTACAACACGTCCAGGATGCACTTCAGCCATTTCGCAATTTATTGGTTATAGTAGGTCTTCAAAGGCCCAAAAAGGGACTTCAAGAGGTTGCATAAGATGAGTGCAATGTTGAGGTAGTAATTAACATACATACCCTTTTTATTTGCATATTCCAAAGTTTCAATGCCTTTATGACTTGCATGTCCATCGATTACTAGAATTACTTTATCGTCAATGTTTGCTTTACCAAAACTTTGGAAGTGCTTTATGCATTTCAAAATTATTTTGGTGGTCATTTAGATGATTGTTTGGCTATACCCAAAGTTCCAAGAATAACTTTATCTCATTCGTATTTAATATTTTTTAGGAAATATCATCATGGGCGGGATGACAAAGCTCCACGCTCCGCGCTAGTTATATAATTTGTTTCCTTCCCGTGGTATTTAAAATCTTCTAAGGTTTTGTACTGTAGTTAGCCCAAATTTACAAGCATTATAAATACGTTGTACGTTGTGCAAGCTTCCGTACAACTGATAAAACTATTTGAGTTTTGGATTTGGTTTGCGCAAATATATTTTTATATCTTTATTACGTCTTAGAAATCCATGCGACCAGTCTTGTTAGATATAGATGTTAAATTTATGACTGAAACTATTTCTTCTACCTATACTCATGTTAATCCGAACAAATGACTTTCTTCAAGGAATTTTATATACTCAACTAATTGCCTTTCCACATTCGATGGAAAGATACCTTTTCAACAACCAACGTCTTTTGAATTTGACTCCAAAATTTTATTATTGCCTAAAACATGCCTGTGCACAGTTGCTTATGCAAACCAAATATTGTTGAGGCCAATAACCAGCCCATTTTCTTTTCTCGAACTGCCTCGATGGTATACTTTATTAATTCCGTACTGCAAAATTGCCGATCAGTCGTTCTTTTCCAATCGTGTGACATTTTAGTATGTCAATATAAATACATACCTAAGTAAAACACAAATGACATGGACAATATGACATCTTCTTCTTCGCGTGCCATATGGGAACTATCCGACGTTGGCGATCACCATTGCGAAGGCTTCTCGATCTTCTGCAATATGGAATAATTGTCCTGCGTTTGATATCTGAGTCCATTCACGAACGTTTTTTAACCAAGAAACTTGTTTTCTTCCTACACCTCTACGGCCCTCTATTTTGGGTTTAAGGATCAGTTGTAAAATTTTATATCGACTTTACCTTACTATATGTCCCAGATAAGACATTTTTCGATGTTTAACAGTCTTTAGCAGTTCTCTGTCTTTGTTGACGCTCCTTAGTAGTTCTTCATTAGTTTTTCTTGCTGTCCAAGGTATCTTCAGCATTCTTCTATGAACCCACATTTGCAATGCTTTAATTTTGTTCATGATCAATACTCTTAGCGTCCACACTTCTGCACTATACAAAAGTACAGACCAAACATAACACTTAACCATTCTTTGCCGTAGGTCTAAACTGAGATGGTTATTGCAAAGAAATGACTTTATTTTTATAAAACTAGTTTTAGTCATTGCTATTCTACGATTTATTTCTATGTCTTGATCTAGTTGGTTATCACAGTTCCCAAATATGTCATTTTGTGAACTTTCTCAACTTGGACTCCGTTCAATTGAAGCTTTGCATCGGGATGTGGGTCACGACTAAACACTAAAAATTTGGTTTTGTGTTTTATTTTAATGCTCATTTCCTCTCCTACCTCGTGAATACGATCAAGCAGGATTTGAAGACCTTCAATATTATCTGATAGAATTACTGTATCATCTGCATATCTAATCACATTAAGTAGTTCCCCGTTGATTTTTATTTCATATGGTTGTCTCTCAAGTGCCTTTTTAAATAGCTGGTCCGAGTAAACATTGAACAATGTTGACGACAAAATGCAACCTTGTCTGACTCATCGTTGTATGGGGATTTAATCGGTGTAGTTATCTCCAATTTTTACGATAGCAGTTTGATTACAGTACAAATTTTTAATGACACAAATATCCTTGTCATCTATTCCGATATTTTTCAGTATTTGCATTAATTTTACATGTTGTACTTTATCGAATGCCTTTTTCGAAGTCCACGAAACATGCAAATACATCTTTTCTTTGGTCACGGCATTTTTGTAATAGGATGTTTAGCGCAAAAAGTGCCTCCCTGGTTCCCATAGCATTTCTAAAACCAACTTGTGTATCTTCAACATCTTCTTCGCATTTGCGTCTAATTCTGTTGTGAAGTATTCTGAGGAAAATTTTAAGAGAGTGGCTCATTAGGCTAATTGACAATTAACAAAATGACATACCTTTCCTTTTATCCGTTACATATGTAAGTCGTTTTATCCATAGAGCGTTTTAAAACAATAAAATTTGTAAACAAATATATAAAGAGCTCTTTTTTTAAAATAAGGTATTTAATTTTAAGATATGTGTTTAAGGAGTTAAACAAATGCTAAAGAAATAAATACATTAACAAAAACTTTTTCAGTATGAAAAAACTCTAAACGTGTGAACACAGAATAGATGCGTTCAAAATTTGACAGACTATAGACTTTGCCTTTTGCAGACTACAAAATTGCCTTTCAATTTAGATAAAGTAACCAAATTGATCTACGTAAACATAAAAATAAATTATTTCATGTCATTGAATGTTTTTTTTTTCAATGGCTCAATATTTTCACTTGTGTTATGAGTAAAAAACGTAAAATAAATGTGTACAATTTTATACCTACATATCATTTTTTAGAGAACAGAATACCGAAAGAACACCTAAAGTACGAAGGACCAAATCTAACAAAACAACTATTAAAACTAATCCAAAAATAATAGAACGAAAGAGAATTCCTCAAGAATGGAGATCAAGCATGCTAATACCTCTTTTCAAAAAGGGAGACAAATCGGACCCGGATAATTACAGAGGAATTATTTGAATCCACAAGGAAAAATTCCTGTAGCTGGCTGTATACCACGTATAACAAAAAGAGGTTAATCTTTGTAAATGGGTATATTTATTTAAAAAACCCTTAAAAGGGCCACATCAATAAAACAAACGTTTTCGGACCACACAGTCCATCATCAGGTTTTTAAAATCGAAAAATGCCTAAAAATAAGTATAAACCATTTAGTTAAAACAAACGAGATTGTGAAATTTTGACTATGTTTGAAAAGCAAAAGATGGTTATACTTACTAGGTCACAATGCCTGAGCCACCAAAATACTAGGGTAAAAACCCTTTAAATTACATTTAGTTATGAAAGATTGTACATTGTGTTGTAAAATAACTGTGATGTTCAGTATTAAATTAAATTTGACTAGAGGTAACACATGGCTCAATCGGGTTCCAGAGCCGGTGAGAGAGAACCTCTACACTTGGAGAACAGCTGGGAACTGATTGACAAGATACTTTTGAAGGATGAAGATAACAGAATGTCAATGCAACAAAAACTATAATAGTTGTACATAGTATTACTACAGCCAAAAGATTCAACAAGTTTTGATGATTTTAAAAAAATAAAAACAATCTAGGTGTTGGGATTTAAAAACTTTTTTATTTATTAATTTAGGGTATAAAAAATGTGAAATCAATGATGGTTTTATAGTCATGATTAATAGAATGACCTGTGCCTTAGGCAACTTATGTTGCTTTTCGTCGTATGGAATGTGGTCTAAAGTGTATTTAATGTTGGGTTAGCTTATATATATGAAATTTATCCTTTTATGTTTAACACATCTAGGACAAGGTAAAAATTAAATAACAAATATTTGAAGCTAATATCAGACCTCATATTTAAATGACTTTATTTAAGACTGCTCCTATGGTGAAAAATTAATAAAATTAAGTTTAGTAAGATGGAAATCTACAGGCTGAAGAAATTAAAGTAGTAACCTATGTGATTGAATTTAAAATTGAAGAGGCTGGGTTCCTCAGAGACTAATGAGAATAAAAGTAAAGGAAATGACTGAAGAAAAGGAGGGGGGGTGGTTGAAGGAGAAAAGGAGTTAATCAACAATTAGAGATAATAGGGGTCCTTTATACTTAAAGTATCTAGCACCCTGAACAAAATCTATTTTGGTGGTTTCTACAAACTGAATTTAATACCATATATACCTTTTCAACCATAGTCAAAATTTCACAATCTCGTTTATTTTAAGTAAATGGTTTATACTTATTTTTAGGCATTTTTCGATTTTAAAAACCTGATGATGGACTGTGTGGTCCGAAAACGTTTGTTTTATTGATGTGGCCCTTTTAAGGGTTTTTTTAAATAAATATACCCATTTACAAAGATTAACCTTTTTTTTTTTTAATTATTTGAATAAACACAACACTAAAATAATAACCAAAGTAATTGTACAACAAATAAACTGAATGAAATTATAAAACTAGCAGAACAACAACAAGGTTTTAGGTCAGGAAGATCATGCACCGAAGTTATATTTATAATAAGGCAAGTGCAAGAGATTATTAAAATACAACAAACCGGCATATGTATGTGATTTTGTGAACCCTAAGAAGGCATTCGACCGGGTCAAATTAAAGGACGTTATCCACTTATTGTACGCAAGAAAGATACCTCTAGGAGTAATCAAACCGATCGAAAATATGTACCAAAACAACACAATAAAAGTAAAAATAGAAGAAGAACTAACCGTCCCTATTAAAGCTGGCAATGGGATAAGACAGAGAATTTACGTGAGTCCTCTTGTCTTTTACCTGAATATGGATGAAATAATAAAAAAGTAAGAACTAAAAAAGGATACCAAATGGGAGAAAAACAACTAAAAATAATCTGCTATGCAGACGACACAATACTATTTTCTCAAAGTGAAGATGATTAACAACGTATACTCCACCAATTTAATATAACTGCCAGAAAAATTAACATGTTAATTTCCCCAAAAAAGACAAAATGCATGGTTGTAACAGAAAATTTACTGAGATATAAATTGGAGCTGGAAGATCAGAATAGATAATAGAACAAGTGATGAAGTTTAAATATCTAGCTATCACATCATCTGTAGCATTTGCATCTCCCTATATATTTTAATCCCCACGTATATGTATTAAATTAAAATCCCGTCATATACTTATGTATTAAAATAATGAAGATTGTTTTCCATGTTTCTTAGTTCGTATCTTTCAAGTTAAAACCCAAATAATATTTCGTTCTTTTCAGGTGGCCAAGTCGATAATAAATCGTTTTATTGTTTGATTAAGTCACAGGCGCAAATTCTTCGATATTCCTTTGACTTGAACAGCTCGATACTGCGTTTGAAGTAATTTATGTCTTAATTTCCGTTGTGATTTGTACATTCCAACTTATGCGATGAATTTTAAAAGATAATTGCTCATTCTCGTTAGAATGGCTGCCAGAGGCAGAAATTTTAGCTTGAGTCCAAATTTTTCATTAAATTTGTAATGTCCTTTTGTTCTTCGTCTTACGTTATGGAAAATAATTATTATAGTAGCGGTTAATAGTAGCAATAATGGTAATTGCAGTCCAATTCTACCTGTCCAAGTTTTTTTTAAGGAGAAAATTTCCGAGTTTTATATAAGTATCCCTTTATTTCATTTTTTGTGTTGTCCCAATCCAACCCCCTTGATATTTACTTATCCACGACCCCAGCTCTCCTAACAAACCCTGAGTGCCGTTCGTATATGTTTCGATTATTTTGCTTGCCCTATCTCCACCCCAGTAGTTTCTGTCCCTAATCTTCTACCCCTTATAATCATACCCCATATGGTAGGCAAAATATATTCGTTACACATCTAGCTATGGAAAGCTCGAAACTGAAGTAGACGATCAAGTGAATAGAGCAAACGGAGACGCAGGTTGCCTGAATGCAACAATGTGGAGAAATAAAAATACCGAGAAAGAAATGGAAGGCAGAATTTACAAAACAGTCATCAGACCAATAATGACATAAGCGTTAGAAATACGAGCAGATACAGAAAGAATACAAACGATATTAGAAAGAGCAGAGATGAAAACAAAAAAAATGATGGTAAGACACTATAAGACAGAGCTAGAAGTACAGATATACGACCTAGATGCAAGGTGGAGCACATCAAGAACTGGGTAAGAAATAGAAGAGTAGAATGAAACAATTATATAAGTCGAATGACAACAAATAGAGTAGTAAAGACGGAAAGGGGCGTTTTACCAATAGAAAAACGATCAGTAGGAAGACCACGAAAACGATGTAATGAACTTACTAAAGACACATTGAAAAACAAACAGAGTCATGTCTGTATAAAAACAAGAAGGTATACTATTTTGAGCGTATTTGCCCTATGTAATGTGATATAATAAAGATGTGATTTAATAAAGGTTAAAGTAACAAAATCAGTAAAAAACAGCGAGTGATTCTAAAAACAGTTACTTCAAAATTCAAAAGGAAAAAAAAACATAAAGATATAAATTTAAAAGAAATGTACAAACCCTGGTAAAACAGTGGCAGATCCTTGTGGTATGGTGGTATTCGTAAGGGTCGTATCCACAATAACACGCATATTATTTTCTTGGTCGTCCTCTATATATTGGGTCACTTCTGTTTGAAATGGAAGATGTCCGATTTCGTGAGAAAGAATTGCTTCATCGTTTAAATACTAAAAAAAACAAGAAACTTTGAATTACTTATTCACTGGCCAATTTAGTCTACTTTCGATTAAAAAAAAATAATTAGTTATATCTTATTTGCTTGAAAGCAATGACAATTGATTTGTTTTAATATGAGCAGTATAAATATGACTGAAAAGGATAGGAAAAGCTAAAACATGAAAAATATTTTCCTAGAAGACGAAATATTGAAAAGAATAGCCATTTTTAGAAAAGAGGGCAGAAAAACTTCTTCCAAGAAATAAGTACTAACAGCAAATAAACGGAGAATAAAACATTTTTCATAAAATATAAAGGAATCTGATGACGCGACGGTTGCCAGATGGAAAGAATTTTTTAATGAAATAAAGGGATGAGACGTATTGAGAACATCAAAACCAAATAACGGCACAAGTCCGCGAGATACTGGATTAAACGTTAGGGTGGCTGCTTTTGCTCAACCAAATAGAGCGTTTCCAATAGACCTCAAAGATCTCCATGTTGAAGACAAGTGGCCTTAATCTCTTTTATTAAGACAATTCATACATTTTTAGATCTTTATGACTTCTTAAATAATTCTTCGTTTATAAAAACACAAGGGTAGTATAGTTCTGGAATTTTCAAAATCAATTTTGTGAGTAATCTAGAGATGATGTTGACCTAGAGCTTAAACTTAATCGGAATTGTAAACAGAAATGGAATGTTTACAGATACTATGTTAGATTCTTTGTTCTTCTTCTTCAAGTGCCGTCTTCGTTCCGAAGTTTGGCTATCATCAAAGCTATGCGTATTTTTGATGCTGCAGATCTAAACAGTTGGTAATTGGTGCAATTGTACCATTCTCTCAAGTTTTTCAACCATGAATGCCTTCTTCTTTCTATAGATCTCTTTCCCATTATCTTTCCCTGTATAATCAATTGCAGCAACTGGTATTTATCTCCCCTCATAACATGTCCCAAATATTGTAGTTTGCGCTTTTTAACAGTAAGTATCAGCTCTTTTTCTTTCCGCACTCTTCGCAAAACCTCCACATTTGTTACTTTCTCTGTCCAGGGTATTCTTAATATTCTACGATACATCCACAACTCAAATGCTTCTATCTTCTTGGTATCGATCTTTTTCAATGTCCATGTTTCCATCCCGTAGAGGAGAACTGACATAAGATTCTTTGTTAGCCAGTCTAAATATATTATTTGAAAATCATATCAATAGGAGCATCCACAGCAACCAATTTTCCGTTCACTCCCAATCCAAAAAATCGCACACTTATAACTTTTCTTCCCTATAACAAAGGTGTCACTGATAAAATCGACAAAATTCTCAAAGCAAAGGGAACAAAGAAAATATTTACCCCTTACCTAAAACCTTCATCTTTTGCTCGATCTACCTAGACTATATTCTTAATGAATAACACAAAGTTTATGAAATTCTTTGTGCAGAAGGCCTGATGAAAACTTAAAAGAGGAAGTCGAATGCTGGGTATATTCAAATTCAAGGCGGTTCAACAACCTGGAAATCAGGTGGCTTTAATAATAATTTTTTTAATAATATTCTTAAGTACTAACTTTAGGTTTAATAAATATTATATTATATATGTATATATATATATATATATATATATATATATATATATATATACATATTATTGAATAATAATTTCCTTTAAGTTTGACATAGATTTACTTACAACTTGCGCTGAATAACAAACAGATCCAAATCTCAGCCAAATTCTTTTTCCTTTCCAGCTGCTAGGAATCTCGAATATCCTCTCATAGTATACAGGCCCGTAATGATCTCGTGCTGTTGTCGTAGTAGGAATATCATTGAAGCTCGAAGGAACTGGCATTAAATGTAGATCTTTGTCTTCAGGCAGATTCTGCAGTTAAGGTAATATGGCAATGTGTAAGAGATATAATAAATAAAGTGAATAAGAATATGTAAAAAATATTTCATATCTTAAAATCAATTAAGTTGTCATTTAATATTTTGTTCTGTTTTGATATAAGACTCTCAAACATTTATAATAATGATACTTCATAAATAAGTGCACAATACACAATGTGCGGTGGAGTAGTACAGCCTAAAAATAACCGTATCTAATTCAAGCAGTAATTTAAGCAGTTTTACCGAAACCAGACTTCTTATTCAGGAGCCTTGTTGATCTTCAACTCTATTTACAATTTATATTTAGGAGGCCATTACAAATTGCAGAATATATTGCACAGAAATAATGCAACAGTGACTAATACACCTGTTCTTCGCAAACGATCAATAATAATTCTGGCAAATGATAAGCAAGATATGGATTATATAATTCGAAAACTAACCAAAGAATACAAAAAATGGGACTTATGATCAATGCTAATATCAAATACTTAATACTTAGGCAAACAAACAGCTCCTCAACTTTTATTTATCATCATTACTCTGGCTTTACAATCCTGCATGTGCCCTAGCCTCCTCAAGAATTCCTCTCCAGTCATCTCTATCCATCGCCTTTTTCCGCCAAGCACATATTTACATATTTCTAATGTCATTTATATTATTTTTTTTTTGTCTTTTTTTGAACCTGTTTCATAGAATACTTAAAGTTAGTTGTGATCAAAGGGAACACCGACGCGGGGGTAAGTTGTTATGCTCTGTATACAGTTTTTAAATAAGATCTATCATTCCTCCGATATGAAATCCCTAATCCACTTCACATCCATGCTCCTATTCAACGTCCTCCCTGAAAAGAGAAGCGCAATAACCCTATACCTTAACCAAATCTCCAATGCAATGTATGGATGTGCCATAGCCACTTCATGCACAAACAACCTCATTAATCAAATCTTTACCCATCTACACATCTAAAAACACACCACACACATCATCTCACATGCATATGCACTCATACAACATCCACCTACACACACTTTACCTAAACTCTGCTCAAAATCCTAATTATTAAACACCTAAATCCCATACCACAATCAATAAACACATAATCCTAACCAGTAAACACGCAAAAACACCACAAACATCCAACACATCACCTACACTGTGAGCACCGCACACACTCCTTAAGAGTCGCTTAAATAACAACAAGGACAGGGGGAGATTGGTTTTCTGTGGTTTCCCAATCTCATTGCACAATGATACCTGATTCTAGGTTAGGATATAGCCACAGCTATTCTCCACGCGTTTTCCAACAAACAAAAATGGCCAACAATCTGAAAGGAATCGTTTTTCCACGGAACTTGTACTTCGTGACAGGCTTGGTTCACTTGGCTGACTCTTCGGGAAGGTACGATTTCCACTTCTTGCCTTCTTCTTGTTCTCGGTATCCTTCCCACCCTCCTCCTCCTCCTATACACCTTTTTTAGCGGCGGCGCCCCTAGTCTTGGGAATCCGGAATCCGAGGTCATACGAGCGAAAACCGGCATTTCAAACAAAACAAGCAGAAGCATCCAAAAAACCAAACCCATCCTTGAAGAAGCATAGAGCTTAAAACAAGGTAAAAACGCAATTGGCTTGATGGCCTAGTCGGTTTTTAATACAGTTTTCATTTATGCTTTAGGGTGATTTTTATCTAGCTAATCTGTAGGATATAAATATGAACCATGTTTTCACAGTTTTATTTTTGGCAGATCTGTAGGAGTTAATTGTAATAATCCTTGTAGGTTTTTACAACACCGTTCAGTTTTAATATCAGATTTATCTGTAGTTGTTTCAAAACTTGTATTAGGTTAATATATAGGATACACAAAACTAATAAAGAAAATAAAACTTTATTTTAAATTGAAAGGAAGAATAATAATAAGAAGAATTCAGAACCAATAGATCTACAACTAACGCGATTTTTATAACACGGCGATGTATATAACTAGAAGATAATTGTATAGAGTTTCCAAAGACCTATTCCTTTGCATTGTGAATCTTACAAAAGCGTTTAATAGAGTCCAAATGAAAGACGAAATAGATATCATGAAGCAGAAAAACGTCAATAGAAAAACACCTCGCAATAATCAGAGAACTTGGATTGGTGAGAGTAGGATATGATAAAATAGACACAAAATGCAAAGATAATGTCGACCGACTGCACACAGGAAGAATAACGAAAATATAAACACATCTCATCATCATCATCAACTGGCCTCTAACGTCCACTGCTGAACATAGGCCTCTCGCATGCTTTTCCACTTAGACCGATTTTGCGCCATCTGAATCCAATTTGTAGTTACTCTTTTTATGTCCATTTCTGTTAGATTATATTCGGCGTCTCCATTCCAAAATTGTTTTTGTCCACCGGTCATCAGCTGATCTTGCTACATAACCTGTCCAGTTCCACTTTAGTATTGTTATCCTTTCAATAACGTCTGCTATTTCTGATCTTTTGCATATGGTAGCATTGGGTATTCTATCACGTAGAAAAATCCCTAACATTATTCTCTCCATTGCACTTTCCGCAATTTGAAGTTTACTCACTGTTGTTCTTGTGAGTGTTAGGATTTCTGCGCCGTAGGTCATCACTGGCAAAATACACTGATTCAATACTTTTCTTTTCAGACACATTGGAATCTTAGACCTAAAAACATCCTTTATATTTCCAAATGCAGCCCAAGCGAGGTTTATTCTTCTTTTCAGCTCTATTATTTGGTTATCTCGACTTATTCTGATCTCATGGCCCAAGTATTTATAGGAGTCAACTGGTTCAATATCTTTGTCTTCTACTGAGATGTTTTTGTTGTGGACTAAATTTGTCATAAATTGTGTTTTTGAAAAATTTATTTTAAGATCAACTCTTTTTGTGGCAGTATGGAGTTCTTGGAGCATTATCTGTGTCTGATCAAAGCTGTCTGCAATAAGAACGATATCATCTACAAATTTAAGATTATTTAAAAATTTTCCATCTACATTGATGCCCTTTTCGTTCCAATTTATTGTTTTACAAGCCTATTCTAGCAAAGTTGTAAATAATTTAGGAGACATGTTGTCTCCTTGCCGAACGCCTCTTTCCATACGAAAGGTACCAGTATCTTCGTTAAGTCTTACACAGGCTGTAGCATGCTGATATATGTATCTGATGAGGGATATGTATCGGTGATCTATTCTACATTGTGTTAGAGCTTGGAGCATTTCACTTTGATTGACCGTATCAAATGCTTTTTCAAAGTCGACAAAGACAAGTATCAGGGGTCTATTATATTCAATGGTTTTTTCAATTAACGACTTAATAGTTTGCAAATGATCATTTGTTCCGTATCCAGCTCTAAATCCTGCTTGTTCGCAAGGTTGATAGAAGTCTAGTTTTGATGTCAACCTATTAGTTATTATCTTCATAAACAACTTATAAACGTGAGATAATAAGCTAATAATAAGATAATAAGATAAAGCTAAAACACACCCAATAAGATTCCATCTTATTGGGTGTGTTTTTGTTATCATTTTGTATGTTTGTTTTTGGAGATTTAGCACGATCTTCGCTCTTACCATCCTATGATCACTTCCAACTGAAGAGCTATTAAGAACTGTTACATCATGGACCATGTCTTTGTTGTTGGTTAAGACAAAATCAATTTTATTTTTGGTGACTCCATCTGGACTTGTCCAGGTTCATTTTCTTTGGGCACTTTTTTTGAAAAAGCTATTCATTGCAAAGAGGCCATTTCATACCAAGAAACCCAAAAACATTTCGCCTCTTTCATTTCTTTGTCCGAATCCGTAGGGACCTATTGCAACTTTGGTCCCGTCCAGTTTACATCCCAACTTAGCAATAAATTCACCCATTACTAGGTTGTTTGTAGAAGGCGCCAGTTTTACTGCATTTTTAAGGTCTTCATAAAAGGTTTCCACTTCCTCGTCCGAGTGTGTAGATGTAGGTTTATAGGCTTAAAATATTTTAAGGCTGGTTTTTTTTTGTTAAGCTTCAGTATGCAGAGTATTATTCTTGGGTTGATACCTTTAAGTTGTTGGATATTTTTAGTGTGTCTTTCATGTATAAGAAGTCCAACTCCTCCTATTTTTTCTTTGTTTTCCATATAGAAAAGTTGATGCCTTGATTTAAGAGTTATGCAGTTTTCTTCTTCGCATCTTACTTCACAGAGACCCATAACGTCCCATTTTATGTGTTTTAACTCTTCATCTAATTCCAGTTCTATTAGCCGTAAGTTAGCAAATACATCATGGGGGTTGAATGCAGAGGTAATAAGAACGAGCGCGCTGTCCTTAGTATATCTTACTGCAGAATATTGCGATCCTGTCTGGCTAAACAGTCATCACACAAAAGTCATAGATACCCAGTTAAATCAAACAATGAGGCACATAACGGGAACTATAAAGCCCACCCCAACCCAGTGGCTTCCAGTTTTAAGCAACATCGCTCCACCAGCAACAAGACGACTAGCCGCACTCAACACTCTAGTTCAAAAATGCCAACAAAACCCAGAACTACCGATAAACACAGACATCGCTGAACTACACCAAAGGCAGTTAAGACTAAAATCCAAACATCCACCTACTAGAACTGCTAAAAAATTGGCTGTTTTCACTACCGAAGAGCACTGGATGGGCGAATGGAATCCAGACATCAGAAATTCCAATCTGATAGAAAACCCCACAATCAAACCAGACGGCTCTTCTCTTCCCCGTCGTGAATGGTGCAACCTAAATAGAATACGAGTTGGTCATGGAATTTGTAACAAATCGCTGAATCAATGGGGTATAAATGCCAGCCCGGAATGTGACAAATGCAGCGCCGCTGAACAAACAATTAACCACATCGTCTTCGAGTGTCCAGCCACCAAGTTCTTTGGCAGCCTTTTTTTCTTCCTTTTCTTTATGTAAAACTGCAATGTGTAAAGTTCATACGAATATACATACATATATATATATATATATATATATATATATATATATATATATATATATATATATATATATATATATATCTAATTCCAGTAATTTTTCTTCAGATGACAGTGTTCTTACATTGTACGTGGCGATATACATTTATATCGTCCATAGTAGCCTAATCTGACCCGGGGATTCTTCGCACCCACTCTTTGCTGTCTTTCTTGATCGCTACCTTGACCAAGGATCAGCTTACTGCCGGGGATTGAGCGCCGTGTTTTTATCGTGTCAAGCATGCTTGGATTTTAGCCATACTCTACTCAGGTGGGAGTTTTAAAAGGAAGAGATAGAAAAAAGGTATGAGGACCTGGCCCCCTCAGGCAAGGAAGGAGGGAGAACCAGAAGCTAGCATAAAGCAGGGTCACTAGTCCCTGTAGCAGTCTGTCTTCTACTGGGATTGTAGAAGAGTGCTAACTGCCACCTCATCTACACATCTACCCAATTAATGCAAACTCGAGGTCAATGTTAAAAGATTTCACATTTAGGAAACATTACTGAAGAATACTTGAAACAAGGACTACCTACGCCCTGGGGAAGATACCTACCGATTAAGAGTTGCCAGTTAAGATTATTTTCAATTGCTAACTACGTTTTCACTGATGATGGTGTGATAAAAACGAAAACTTTCTGAAATTTAAATCTGTTTTGATAATTTCAATCTTTTAAAAAAATTAATTTAAATATATTCCATTTTACATTAGAAATTTTTAACTTATCTGCAAGTACTTTAATAAATAGTAATTTCGATCAATTTTTTTTACTCACCGATAGTCCACCAGAATAATCTACACTTCCATTTATCACAAGAGAAAACCTCCAAATGCCGTCTAGAGACAATAAATCTCTGGTTTTCGAGAGCCTGGGATACAAAATCCCCCCATTTATGCCGTGGTAAATAGTAAAAAACAAAAACCAAATAATGATCATGACCTTCTTTCTTCTCGGTCTTTTAAAACAATAATAATGATAAAAATAGTTATAAAAATGTAGATTTTAATAATAAGTAGGTGGTAGTTCTGATAATTTCATGGATGTACAGTATTTTTGTTATCAGTAGCGACCTATCTCACATTTGTATTGGTATATTATAAACTAACAGTCAAATTATAGACCAAGGCTTATAAATTAACTAGAGAATTTTAGGAGAAATTATGTTATATAGTTGTTTGTATTTAAACGAAATATATACAGGGTGGTTGGTAAGTAATATACCAAACTGAAATGCAATATTGTTTTCCTCGAAATATCACGATCCGATGCAACTGACGTCGATAAAATATTTATAATAAAAAAGATACAAAGCGGCATTATATTTATCGCAGTAAATTTAAAGATTTTGAATGTAAGAACGTAAAAATTTGAAGTCATGGGTTTTACGGTATATCATACCATGATATCCATCTCGACATATTTTATAAAGAGCGTCATATGCACTATACTGCGCAAAAAACACTAATTATGGTTTTTAATTCAAATTTTAATAAAATATCACTTAATTTCACAACAAGGGCACATTTAACGAGCCCAATCCTGGCATATGTCAGATATGTCTCCAATTGCATGCAATAATTCTCAACATACCTATCTTTTTTTTACATTATTAAAAAGAAGAAGAAAAATCTGCGTACAGACACCTGTGACTCACTCAGGTATTGTTGGGTTTCTAATACTCTAGTCAAGTTGTGCTAGACAACGGTGGGAGTTAGACCTTTGACACTTCGTCCCGTCACCACTCCGAGACGATCAGGATCAGGCATTAGGATGAAAGGGCTGGTTAAGGCAAAACTTCTCTCCTAATGCCGTGTTATCACCCAATTCCCATTCTTTTTTCCACACATTCATCGGGAAAACCACACCCACACGGACCACCAAAAACGTTGAATCCTCTGCCTTAGCGAGGCTGCGTCGTCTGCGTTTCATTCTCTTCTGTTTTAGCCTGCGACAGTCCGAACACCACCAAGGTGCTACTCGCCCGTTCAAACTCTGTTGCGAGTTTACGCTCCTCTAGTTGTTTGGAACAACAGACAATATACCTATCTAACACATAACTACGGATCATGACTGAAAGGATTGTCTATGAAGAATCATACGTATAGTCTCCCGATTTATATCTTGCTTAGTAATAGCAAGTAATTATATTATGCCATTTATAATCTACATAAGTATAGAAAATAATATCATCAAGCCGGTGACCATCACGTTGGATGCTGTTTTCGATCCTCTTTATGAAATCCTCCTTAACACGCTTTAACAGTAGTCAGGATTTCCTGGCGAACTGCGTTCTTTAACTCGATCCAATTACGAGGCTTGCTAGCATATACATGACCTTTTAAATACCCCCATAACAAAAAATCACAAACTGACAGGTCTGGAGACCTTGGAGGCCACGGCGTGAAATCTCCGAAGCGTGAAATAAGTTGTCCTGTGAACAGTTTTGCGGAGAATATTTATTGAAGCATACGCAGTTTGTGCCGTGGCACTATTCTGCTAAAACCACATATTCTTTGGGTTTATCCCTTTTCTGCGTAAAGTTGGAATCAAAAAATTTTAGAACATGTCAACGTAGCGAATAGAATTAACGGTGACGGTATGACCAGCCTCTTCGAACAAATATTGCTCAATAATGCCAGTCGGACCAATGGCACACCACACTGAATTTTTGAGAATGTAAAGGACGCTCATGGAGATTTTGTGGGTTTTCCGGAGCCCAGTACCTGTAATTCTGTATATTTACGGTTCCGTCCAAATGGAAATGAGCTTCGTCGCTCATTAAAATATGCTGATCTAAGTTATCCTTTAAAAGAACTTGCATTCTCCTAGCGAAATCCTTGTTCAACGTTTCTTTCCATTAATTTCTGGACAGTCTGCAATTTGTAGGGGTGAAATTTTAGGTCTTTATGCAACATTTTTCTCAACGATCCCCGATTAATCCATCCATCCAATGACACTACAGCCCAAGCCGGGCCTTGGCCTCCTTCATTAAACCTCTCCAAACATCTCTATTTACTGCTGTTCTTTTCCATGAACGCGTTTTTAGGAGATTTTTGGCATCCTCATCTACCTCGTCTTCCCATCTCTTTTTTGGTCTTCCAACAGGTCTTTGTCCTTGCATTCTTGCGTTTAGTAATTTTCTGGGGATTCTGTTCTCATGCATGCGGGCCACATGCCCTGCCCATCGTAATCTCTGCAGTCTAGTGTATTGTGCTAGTGTTGGTTCAGTGTATTGTTCGTATATTTCGTTATTATATCTAATTCGCCAGTTGTTATTTTCCTTTATTGGACCCAGTATTCTACGCAATATTTTTCTTTCGAACACGTCTAATGCATTGGTAGATTTCTGTGTTATAACCCATGTTTCACACCCATAACTTACTATGGGTCGGATTATTGTTTTATATACCCGGAGTTTTGTTTTCCGGATCCCCGATTAATGTTTAGCTTAATTGCAAGTTTTCGGGCGGACCGTATAGGGCTCTGGCCTCTGACGACGGCATCTCTCACTCGCTGTATGTTTACAGGAATTCTTACTGTTCTATTCGGACCTTGTTGCTTTTTTTTCATGACACTGCCTGTTGTTCTAAAATTCTTTATCCATCTAAAGATTGTGTTACAGGATGGAACCGCTCCACGCCTTCTTCTTCTTCACGTACCATATCAAAACTACCCGACGTTGGCGATCACTATTGCGAAGGCTTCTCGATCTTCTGCAATATGGAATAATTGTCCTGCATTTGGTATCTGAGTCCATTCACGAATATTTTTTAACCAAGAAACTTGTTTTCTTCCTACACCTCTACGGCCCTCTATTATGCCTTTAAGGATCAGTTGTAAAATTTTATATCGACTTCCCCTTACTATATGTCCCAGGCTCCACCCCTACCAATATTAAAGTGAGTGCGGAAAAGCCGTTACGTAGTGATCACTGATTCTTGATTTCGAATAAAGGTATCGTATGCAAACGTGTGATGTTTTACCGTCCACTGTTTGATGTTTTGATTTTAAATTTTCATGCATTTTTTCGTGTCCGTACTTAAGAATTTGTTGTATCTCTTGAGCTTTCTTTCTGGTGCCGTTATTACTAAATATTGCTTAAAATAAGGTTTGAAATTAAAAACACAAAGTTAAAAAATGCATTTTATTTGATAAAATTAAATTCTAAACTCTTTACAATAATATATAAATCTACTATTCAATGACATAGTTTTCCAAATCAGTAGGGGCTGTGATATTATTCAGTTTATTAGCCAACAGCCAATACCTCTTTCTTAAAAAGTGTGCACTATTTTTAGGCTGCCTTTGGCGTGTGAACATACCCTTCTTGTTTCCTCCTACTCTTCTTATATCTAAAAAAAGATAGAATTAAATTTAAAACAAACAATTTTAAAATTTTTACAAATTTGTTTAGAATAGCAATCGAAAATTTTGGACAGTTTAGTCGTTGGGGATTTCGAAAAAAATGAGATTTTGAAATGAGAACGATATTATAATATAATTGGTTGAGGGTAGAATGTAGAAGTAGAATGCGAAAATGGGCGTAAGTTGGATAAACTGTTAGAGAAAATGGGACTGCTTCTCAGCTTTTGAAAAGATATCTTTTGCTCATAGTTAAAATGTGATTTTTGAGTGTTTTAAATTTAAAGGTATTTTTACGATCTAGCAAGTAGTAGCAGTGTTTGATGTATGATTACCTTTTAAAAAGAAGATTGCATTATTTGTAAAAAGATCAGAATTTGATATCAACGATTTAAAAATGTACAGGAACAATTAAGACATACTCTTAGACAAAAAACAGAAAAACATACTATGAGGCAATACCTATTGATATCAATATGGCATACAAACTTCTGGATGAGATGTTTTATATAAAACATGACATATTATAAGTATAGGTCCGTACAACTGTAACGATACTCTGATCGTTTAACAGTTTGAACCGTGGGAGTGTCAATATTTGTGCATCCACTTCTTAAACGAGACGACGAAATGTGATTCGAAGCGGCTATTTAAGGCGTGTAAGTAGCGGAATTAGACAGTCAGTAGTTATAGTAGCTCGACTCCAGCAGTCGAGCAGAGCTGACGTCCGAGAAGCGAAGACCGACACTGCCGAGGAGCTGCAGCGACCAAGTCCGAGCCGAACTTTTTAGTTCGTAACCGTGAATGTAAGCACGGTAGCGGAGACTTGGCGCTAACAGTGCCTAGGTCAGAAAAGAGGTAAAATCCTACGCCGCAACGAGGTTAAGCCGGAGAGATTTGTTTTTTAAATCTTAAAGTCTTCACGGAGGCTAAAATTGAGGCGTAGGAAAGTGAAAAAGCATACGGGATTTTAGCCCGTCGGGATATTCTCTGTGCCTCCGTTGGGATGACACTGTGGTATATAGTTGTTTAGAACTCTATATCTGGCAGACACGGCCCCAGGATCAGAGAATCGAGAAAATGAAGAGAATCCCCGCTTTAGTTCTGCCTAAAGCGTGAACAACCGCGAGTGAGGTCACTGGTGACACCCAGAATCCGTGCTGGCAACGGGCCAGACAGAGGACAAAAAAGCCTTCATTCAAATTTAAGATTAGTCCTTTCCCAACATGGATAGATCACGATCCCCGCCTGACTAAAGGCAGCCCCCAGCCCCTATGGTTGCAGTGAGAGGAAACTCCACGGCAACATCTATAACGCGCTATTGACCGGCCTATCCGATGGTAACGAAACGACGACAAATTATGAAGTCTTCAATTACCTAACCATGGCACATAGTGAAGGGACTTCAAACGTCCCAAGAAAAAGAAAAGGAGAACAAAAGCCCGCGCGGAGGGAAACTGCGTTCCAGAAGAGACGACGACACGCCGGCAACGGCAAGCAAGAGGATCAGGAAGAAAAGTAGCGAGGACGAAAAGTCCGAACTACTAGAAATCAGGAAACAATTAAAGCAAAAAGACGCAGAAATCGCTGCCCTCAAAAAGAAGATCGACGAGTTGCACAATAAAAGCCTAAGAGAAGCAGTTAACGTACCAAGATACGTCGCTGAAAGATTCCTTTTTAGAGAATTACAGCAAGTCAGAGTGACTGACACCATGAAGGAAAAGGCCAGTACAAAGTTTGCAGAATTAGAGAATCATCCCAGCCACATACTAAGAGAGATAATGAGATATGACGCTTTCCACAGATGGAAGCACAAAAGACCAAAACACAGATAGTCGATTAAAATAAAATACCAGAAAGAGAAATAACCCCCCACCGCCCCCCCCCCCCCCCGAAGGAAACGTAACCCCAAAAACACTAGAGTGAGAAGAAATCACGCAAACCATAAGAAAGATAGTTCGTAGCTCAAAATATCCAGGATACCGCATATCGCCTAGTACACAGTGGGCCCAGTTGCTCACACAAAGATAGAGCGTGTATTGTGGTATTGTATAATATTATTGTATAATTTTTTGTTCACAGGGCCACTTACAAAAAAAACACAAAGAACCGGCTTCGGCCACCAAAAAAAAAAATAAAAAAAATTACTAACAAAAACCGGCTTCACCCACCAAAAAAATTAACAAAACCCGGTCACGTAGGGCCCAACCACTTGAGCACCAAGTCGCCGAACTGAGCCGGGACGCAGAGCGGGGACTTGAGGCCCAAGTAAGCAATTTTAGTTCGCGAATAAGCCACCATAAGATAACAGGAATATAGCGGAGATGCACTGTCCTGAGTTTTGCATTCGATTAGGAAACCATGTTGGGGTTCTATTACCCAAGACCTCCACAAGAAGAGCATTTGGCTGATTGTTGTGCCTCTATAGCGCATCAGAGTGCTATAGGGGGGAAAGGGATGGTCTAGAGCATTGGAGCACGGTGGGGTGACTCCTGTTTTTACACGAGTTAACACACCTTGCTCCAATGAATTGTTGGGTGTGCGTAAGTGTTGCGTAATACTTAGGGGTGAACGTTTCTCATAGGCTGGGTTCAATTAAATTGCTTGCTTGAATTAGACAGTCTTATAGCTAACGCTCTAGACTCGCCGGTGTATTGAACCTGCGAGCCAACCCGGACAGAGAGATTTCCGTATTGAGGATCATACTCTGTCCTTAACCGGCAGAACCCATCGGTATTGTGTATTGAACATTACCGTGGGCCTGCACAGCCGAATATTTAGTTTGCGAGTGCATTCGGAGCTCCCGCTAAATTGCAGCGGAAGCGAGTATAAGTCTGCGTGCGATTGACTTCACCTATTTCATTTGTTTGTTATTAATAATAAATTTTTCTTTCTTTTATAGACGTTCGCCGGGGAATTTATTTTTATTTCAACCTGTGTTTTACTGAGTCTGTCGCCCCGAAAGAGCTACCAGTCACACAACTTACCATTAGCAGTTTTAAAATCGGCAAAATTCCATATCATTTCTCCAACGAACCATCCTTGGTCTCGAAGCTGATCGAAAGCTTTAAAATATTCAGACATGAGTTTTACTTGATACTCTTCAGACCATAGATAATCTGGAAGCTAAAAAAGAACAAATTAACAAAACTTGAAAACAAAGTGGTACAGTAGGCGGTACTGAAGACTAGCGCGAAGCTTCATACCATGTTTCTGTATTTATAAATTTAATAAAAAATTATGAACATTTCGAAAATTAAAATTATAACCCTACAATGCGCGATTTGTTTCTTTGCAATTAAAAAATTTGGTAATTGGGAATAAGAAATACTAAAACAGGTGTGACACTGGAAGAAAAATTATTTTTTAAGGTTTATTTAAAAAAAAATTGTTGATTCATATTTAAATCGTTACGAAGTGTAATATCTACTGTGACAAATTAATTATTGTGGAAATCTGAAAAGCAGTTCTTGTCCTTGTTGAAACATAATGCTGTTTCGCATTGTCTACAAACAACATAAGTTTGGGTATGGCAACCAGGAAATTTGCAACGAACTCTTGTGCTATTTCATTTAGAAAACTAGTTTTCCTTGTCCACTCTAATATCCAGTGGAGGCAGAGATGAGGTGTTATGCTTTAGTTTCTTCCTTTCAATTTCTCTCAGTACATCATTTGATGGTCTGCCCCGTTTAGGGTTTAGTAGGACCCAATACTACACAGTGTTTGTGCCAATTTCAATCTGAATTCAACTAGTGTCATGGTCGGTTTTCCAAAATTTGAGCTCCTATATAATAACCAGGAGTTTATTATAGTGATGTCTAAAAGATGATAAAATATTCTTATTATAAAATTATAAATATACCATTGCTCAGACCGCATTTTAATTCTATACTTTCCAATATAACTGTCTAACAAATATGTTTATTGTATTGTTTTACGATTTCTAGACATGGTACAGATACCCTTTGTTTTTTTCTGTCATATCTCTGCATGATTTGAGATGGTTCCAAGCCAGCAAATGAGGAGATATGTTGTGGAATGCAACTCTTCGATCCTCCATATCTCTCTTAGTGAAAATATAAATAACATCCGTTATGCTGACGATACAGTCATTATCGCTGAAAGTAAGACAGACCTGCAGAGGTTACTAAACACAATTTATGATACTGGGGAACATTTTGGTTTAACAATAAATATAAAGAAAACAACAAACATGGTTATCAGTAAGAGGGGCAAAGTCATTACAAGGATCCAGATAAAAAATGAAGATATTGAGCAATTGAACAAAATAAAATACTTAGGAGTCTGGATTAAGGAAGATCTGAATCCGAAATCAGAAATTCGCTCAAGAATAGAGCAATCAAGAGCAGCCTTTTTTAAGATGAGGAAATTTCTGAATAACCAAAGACTCAATCTGCAAATCCGATATCGGATGGTAAAATGTTACATCCATTCTTCTTTATGGTGTCGAAGCCTGGACTGTAATGTTGATTTAATGAGAAAACTGAAAGCTTTTGAGATGTGGCTTTTTTGAAGAATTTTAAAGATACCATGGACCGATCATATTTCGAACGAAATGCTGTTGCACATGATGGGAAGAGACAGAGAACTGTTGACCACCATTAAAAGGCGAAAGCATATTTTGGGTACATATATAAAAATGATAAGTACGAGTTCTTGCAGCTGATTATGAAAGATAAAATCGAAGGAAAAGGGGGTCTTGATAGACAAATATCCTGGCTGAAAAACATTCTAGACTAGACCGGATTAAACATACAAACGCTCTTAAAAAAAGCCGAAGATAGAGACGAATTTGCATTGGTTATAGCCAACCTTCATTAGTGGAGACAGCACTAGAAGAAGAAGATATCCCTCTTACATCTTTTGGCATGGTCTGCTTTGCCTTGCAAATTTTTACTTCTCATTTGATGTCTATATTTTGTTATTTATTCTTTATGCAGTTTTATTTTCTCAACATTTTATTCTAGTAGAGGTAAAAAAGTAATAAAAAGCCGTGGTATTACTTTTTTATTTTTTTTAGCATTTTAATATAATTTAACAGGCAAGTTATGTAAAACCAGATCCTTTTATTTCTTTAATTTCTCTATAATCCCTATTATCTTCTGTTTCATTTAATTTTCTTTCTTTATTTGTTTTGTTTTTTATTCGGAGGATTTTTTTTAGTTTTTTGCCTTTGTTTTTGAGCTTTGTACTTAAGTTCCTCACTACCAGTTTATATGTATTTCTTTTAGAGTAATTTTTTAAGTTATTACATTACTTTTGCTTTATAACATTGGTTGTCTAAAGTTACTTAAAAATAGATTGCTTGTTAAAATTAATAATGAACTAACATTATTTGTTTTCTGCCAATACAGCTATCCTCTACACCAATAATTACACCAAAATAAAGATGAGTTAACAGAAATCCTTTATAAAATGACACTAAATAAAGTTTAATAATTTATAAACCTTCATAATAGCTTAAGTGAAGCTGTTATGAAAGCCGCAAGAGAACAAAAGCAAGATAGAACGAATACAAATAAATGGTGGAGTGAAGACATTGAAGAAAATGTAGCAGAAACAAAACGGACACATAACACATTATGGCTAATGGTAACAGACAGAAAGGACTGAAAACACTACACACAATGATGTTAAGTTATAAAAAAACAGTGCTAAGACAAACAATTAGACGTGAGACAATAAATGTAAACAAATAGAGTAGAGCAACTGAAGCATGGAGAATCATAAAATCTATAAGAACAAAGAAAAAGAAATATCTAGAATTTCTTTCCAAAACTATTTTTTTTTTTAATTTAAAGGCAACTTTTATAGAACTAAAGTAAAGAAATTCTAATATAAAAATTGGACGAGCTTCCAGAACTTCCCTTAAAACTAAGAATAGGCTAGTGATTATGTTCAAAAAATAAGGCTAAAAGAACTACAACGTTAAAGGGGTTTTGCTAGTTCATATGTTAACCGGACCTCCAAATATTTTCCATTTAAATAATCCATAATCCATTTAAAGGAATGCGTTTTTGAGAGTGGGTGAATTTGTCCCTATGTACTAGGGTGCATTTTGGTGAATTCTATGTAGTTTTCGTACATAAACATCTACAGAAATCTGGTTACAAATTAGTTTTCTATCAAAATGTCAAGCTTTTTGTTTTCAACAAAAATATTTTCAAAAGAAGAAGCAACAAAAAATACACGCGATTATTCTTTTTGTTTCATAACTTTTTTCCATGGTGATATAAGGTATAGGCATATAAAAAAACTTTTATCCTTCTTCTTTAAAATAACGTTTGGTAGAAGTAATAGAAGGTAGAAGAAATATATATATATATATATATATATATATATATATATATATATATATATATATCTTATATATTATATTATGTATATTTTAATTTTATACACTTTCTGCTATACTGTTTTTACTGAAGTTAGAAATAAACTAAGATACTTACAATATGCAAGCCCTCCATCGCATCTGCTCCATACTCAGTAACAAAAACAGGTTTGTTATGCTTTTTATGCCATCCTTCAGCCTGACTTATCATTCCTGATACAACGGTTTCTAAGTCGCCCGCATATTCATACCAACCTACATATTTATTGACACCTAAAATGTCCAAGAATTGTCCCTAAAATATAAACAATTATTAAATCGTTGTATTGTTAATATTTGGCAACTTTAGAATTCCTAAGATTTCCTACTTGACGAAACTAAATTCAAATTCTTATCACTGCGCTTTCTAAAACGTGTAAAGCAGACAGATTGATAAATTAGTCGACAAGGGAATCTACAATTTGCATTCCACATGTCTTCCATCGCGCCAAAAATTCTTAGTGAATTTAGTGCCGAGTATAACCGAATAAATCTAAAACCGTCTTTCTGTTTTAATATTTGGCATTTTATTCTAATAACATCCATTAATGTAACACCTACGATGTTTACAGTCTTTTTACCTTATACAAACAAAGCTGAATATAACCTTCATAGACCTTATGGAACTAAGATTGCTCAGATCAGGAACATGGGACAGAAGAAATGAAACACTTTATTATTCTGGTAGTGACTTTAATGAGGACAACCACAGAAATTGAGAGGGAATATTTTTAACCACTGAACTGATTACCATTGTTTCGCAGACAACTTACAAGACTCAATAATTTGAAAGAGCAAAATTAAATATAAACTTTAAGAAAACTAAACTTACGACAAATCTCATAATGAGGGAAAATATAACTATTGACAATAATACCACACAACAAATAGGTACTTACAAATATCTGGGACATGAGATCAAAATAAGCAGAGACTTTCAAGCATATAAAATAGAAAGACAAAAAGACCTGATATGAGCACTATTGGATAAACTAAGCCATATTATAAGAAGTTCAATTCCAATGTGCCTCAAGTGAAAAGTTTATAACCAATGTGTTTTGGCCGTAAAAACATATGGAGTAGAGACATAACCGCTGACGCAAAGGTCCGCAAATAAACTCAAAGTTACAAAACGAACTATGGTATGTACAATGCTGAGCGTGAGCCTTCGAAACAACACAAAAAACCAACAAATCCGGAAAAGACTTGGCGTTCAGGACGTCAACACTAAAATGAAACTGGCCAGGGCACATAGCAAGAACATAAGATAGACGGTGAACAAGATGATTCATGGAATGGAGGTCCGGAAACTATAAAAGACGCCGCAGACAACCCCCCACTAGATCGACCTACGACGTGAAAAGAATAGCACAAAAATGGCTACAAATGTTCCAATATAAAAAGGATTGGAAGAGACTCAGTAAGGTCTATGTTTAGAAACAGACGTGATTGGCTAAATGATGATAATGAACCACTAAAGTAATCGAAAATATGTTTCAAACTCAATTTCCGATACAAAAAAATCCAAACAAAAAATCGTTTGTATTTTGAGAACGATTTCCGAAGTGGAAATTAAAACGTCAATAAACGTATTTTTACCTTTAATTTGGGCTTATTCCCATTTAAATAGTAATTATCTATTTTTTGATTTCCTATTTGATAAATTTTTATATAGTTGATTTAAAAGTTTTAATAGGTTTTCTAAATCATTTGTATAAGTTTTTATTAAGCTTACTGGGTCAGGGGTACCTTGAGCATTTTGAAGTATATCTACTAATGTTTCATAATATATTAAATGGTGTACTGAAGTATCTTCATATATTCGTCTAGATGAATTTTTTATATCCTCAAATACGTTGATAAAACTTTAACAACTTTAGAAACCAGAAACTGACATGATTTGATGAAAAAACGTAATCAGAACAAAGTAATAATGTTCATGGAGAAATGCTTATAAGTACTGTCTAGAAAGTGACATAGTTGTAATTTTATTAATAGCTGATGTTAATTGTTGAAGATACGGCTAGGCGATGCTGAATACTGCCGAAACATAAAAACATAACTCCGATACGAAACCACACTGACTATATATTAGACAATATATGCTCTTCATCCATCATAAGGCTCTACAACCCTTTTTGACCCTAGTCTTTCTCAGCAAACCTTTCTATTCGTTCTGATATGTAGTCAGTCTCCTCCACAATCGACTGCTAAGGAGATTTCTTGCGTTCTCATCCACATCACTCTCCCATCGCTTGTTTGGTCTCCTAGTAGGTATTTTCCCCTACATTCTTGCAATCAACAGTTTATTTGTAAGTCCGTTTTCTTCCATTCTAAATACACAACCTGTCCATTGAACACGCTCTAGACGGGCATATTAAGATAAAGGTGGTTCTTGATCTATGCTTGGAACGTGGACCAAACAGAACACCCATTTTAATAAATTAATTTTAACATTTTCACGTATTGTTGTCGAAAGTAACTATTGAAAGACCTTGTATTAACGTTAGATACACTGGATAACTTCAATGTCTCTGTTTTATTGTTAAACAGAATCCGTGATTAAGTAATGGCTTCGACATAGTCATGACTACTTGAGCTGAAACTGGAAGGTCTGCGTAATCTGAATCAAGATTGATCTGTCTTCCTGTGTAAATGAGAATATACTGAATCCATCCAAGCCGAGCTTTGTATAATAGTAGGCACTAATCGATGGTTACATGTTTTTCAGGTGTCACTGGCTAAATTTTCTTTAGCTTAGGATTAGAATGTGTTGCGGTGTCGAAATTATAATTATTGCTGAAATGAAGGTTTTGGTTTATTGCTTCAAACCGTTCTTACTATTTAAGTGCGCTTTAACCGATTACTTAAACACTTTGAGAAATAGGTGTCATGATCAATGAATTCTTAGACCAATACTGTCGTATTCCAGATTTCTTGATTATGCTTTGCAAAATAATAAGGCCCAAAAAACTCTCATTTTCGCCCAAGTTACCAAATACCAACTACTGTCTATATTGTTTTGATCAGCATATCAGTTAGTGTCTTCTACAATGGAATTTATTAGGTTATCATCCAAGAAATATTCAAAACATTGCAATATATTCCAGTCGGTAGCAATAAAATTTATACCTGAAACAGCAGTTAAAGGAAAATATGAAGGAGCGGGAGCATTTGGCTGTAATTTGCACCATGTTCGTACCATAGTCATACTTACAGTGTCATCCGAAGTTAAATAATTTTCTGGACTAAGGTCGATACTTGTATCTGAACCACTTTCGTCCATAGTGGCTTCGACATCAGACACATGTGAACTTAATATATACTTATCACTACTCATTTTGCAGTCGATAAAAGAATTAAAAAAACTATAAAAATAACTAACGCACTGCAAGAGTCGAATAAATATGTCACTTATATCTGCCTTCCAAACGCACTAAACTTGACTAACCTTGGCCTTGACTAAAAATTCCACCTGGCGGTCGATCGTAGGAAGTTTAAAATTAGAAACGACAAAACAAGTGGGGGAAACCATTATTTAGCGTTAGGCGAATTAAAACGCGTAGGCGCATTACATAATCATACAAATATTTTAAGCACGAGTTTACTCGGTTATGCGAAAATAGAAACGTAGATTAATACCGAGTGAACTCGGGTGAGTACGTTAAGCGGTTAATTTTGAAACAGTTCAAAAACCTCGAACTTAAAAATTTTTTACACCTACTTTTCTTGTGTATTCTTTCAAACAAAACAAACTTAGCAGTTGAAAGTACTTACAGAGTGATCCACATCAAATCCGTAGATATTTGCTATTGTTATGGGTCTGGTTTTATCGAATGATTTGATATGTGCAGAAACATGACTGAAAATAAAATATCGGATTAAAAAAAGTTTTTTTCAGTTTCTTTTTTCTTATTACTAGAATATTCCTCGAACTCCGCCTGGGATACCGTGAGAAATCACAGTGTCACAGCCGGTCCTAAGCCCGGATAAAGGAGGAAGGTTGGGCAATGGGCTAGTCACCCATTACTGTAGAACAAACCCCGACTACGAAACCTATACAAAAGCCTCGGATAGGACGGTCTTATTGACGACGACTCAAGCAAAGAAATATGGACTACTCATTTGGAACATGGAACGTCTTAACCCTAAATAAACCAGGAGCCCAAACATCGCTGCTTAACGAACTTAAAAAATATAAGATACAATTAGCCGCAATACAAGAAACAAAATGGCTAGGCAATGGAATAAAAGACACAAAAACGCACACAATACTCTATAGCGGCAAAGAAAATGGAAAGAAAGAATTTGGAGTGGCTTTCGTAGTAGATAAGAACATCAAAAATAATATCTTAGATTTCGAAGCAATAAATGAGAGATTATGTAGATTGAGGCTAAAAACAAAATTTTTTAACCTCACAATCATTAATGCCCATAGTCCAACAGAAGAACACGACATAACAATAAAAGAGGAGTTCTACGATCAATTAGAAGAAATATACGACAATGCCCCAAAAAATGACATCAAGATAATATTGGGTGACATGAACGCCCAAATAGGCAAAGAAGAACAGTTCGCAGGAATAATCGGCAAACACTCACTCCATCAAAACACCAACGAGAACGGGGAATTCCTAATTAATTTTGCCAGCAGGAAAAACATGATCGTGAGCTCTACGTTCTTTGCTCATCGGGATGTACACAAAGCAACGTGGATCATGCCAGGTGGAGCGGTTACTAACCAAATTGACCATGTCTTAATAGACAAAAGAGCTGCCACTAACATCCTAGATGTAAAAAGTCGAAGAGGAGCATGCTGTGGATCTGATCACTTGCTGGTACAAGCAAAATATAGATGCAGGATCTCAAGAAACAGAGACAAGAAAGAACAGATAAAAGAGCAGTTGGACATTGATAAACTAAGCCAACAAAACGTTAAACTGAGCTACGAGACAGAAATAACCCAGACACTTACAAACACAGATAACCTAGACATTGAAGAACATTGGAAACAAATGAAGACAAAAGTATTAAATGCAGCAACAAAGACCATCGGTAAAAAGGTAAAGAAGCAAAGGGCAGAATGGTTCAACGAAGAGTGTAGACGGGCCATACACGAACGAAATGAAGCTCACAAGAAATATATGGAAAGGCGAACCAGAGAAAGAAGAACATTTTTCGAGGAGCTACGACGCAGGGCGGATAAAATATGTCGAGGAGAAAAAAGAAAATGGGAAAATAATAAGATACAGAAAATGGAACAAAACCTCCAAAGCAACGATCTAAGGGAGGCATATAAATATCTTCGACAACTAAGAGAAGGATACAAACCCCGAACAAGTCTGTGCAGAAACCAAACAGATAAGATAATTAGTGAACCAACGCAAATAAAATCAGTTTGGAAAAGCCATTTCCAAGCTCTGCTAGGAGCACAAGGAAGCTCACGATCTTCGGATACGCGGCACATCGAGGAAGGAGACGAAGAAATAAGCCCCCCGACTCTTAAAGAAGTCAAACAAGCAATACAGGCGCAAAGAAACAACAAAGCGCCGGGATTTGACGATGTCCCTTCCGAACTGTATAAATTAGGTGGCGAACATCTAACAACGCAGGTGCACGCGCTCATATCTAAGGTATGGAGGGAAGAAAAAATTCCTAGCGATTGGAAAAATGGGATTATCTGCCCAATCTACAAAAAAGGGGACAAACTTAAATGCGAAAATTACCGCGGCATAACCCTCCTATGTTCGGCCTACAAAATTTTTACATCCATCCTGAATAGGCGACTTCAACCATTATGTGAAAATATTATCGGCGAATACCAGACCGGTTTTCGACAAGGCAGGTCGACTATAGATCAGCTTTTTACAGTAAAGCAAATCCTTAATAAAGCTTGGGAACACGATATTGATGTTCACAATATATTTGTCGACTTCAAACAGGCTTATGACTCCATAAATAGAAGCCGGTTATATAACATCATGGAAAGCTTCAATATTCCCTCGAAATATATCCGACTAGTAAAAGCAACGATGGACTGCACAATAGCAACTGTACGCATACAGTACGAATTAACTGACAGCTTCGAAATAGTTCAAGGGCTGAAACAAGGTGATGGACTAGCTCCAACACTGTTCAATCTGGCCCTTGAATATGTCATCAGAAAGCTGAATGTCGGAAGAGCCAATCTCCTAACAAACAAATCTGTCCAGCTCGCCGCATATGCGGATGACATTAACCTCATGTCCCGCAGAGTGGATGATGCAGCAGAAACATATTCGCAGCTGAAAAAAACGGCCAAGGAGATTGGACTTGAAATAAATACACAGAAGACAAAAATACTAACACAGACGCGGACAAAGCGAACAAGAAATCAAATCAAAGTAGAGGATGACATTGAAACAGTGAAGAGTTTTACTTATCTGGGAGTCGAAATGAATACGGAGGGAACAGAAGAGGCCGAAATTCAGAAGAGAATAATGAAGGGAAATAAAGCCTATTTCTCCCTGATTAACATATTCCGCTCCAAGACGGTACATCGAAAATCAAAACTTAAGGTCTATAAAACTATCATCAGACCGATAGTATGCTATGGATGCGAGACATGGGTTTTGACAGAAAGCACTAAACGAAGATTAGAGGTTTTCGAGAGAAAAATCCTAAGGAAGATCTTTGGACCCATCACTCAAAATGGGATGTGGAGATCTAGATATAACCATGAACTCTACCAACTGTTCAAAGAAGCACCTATTGCAGAGTTCGCTAGAGTACAAAGGCTTCGATGGGCTGGTCATGTGGTACGGATGGATGCCGACAGATTGCCGAGAAAGGCCTTGGATGGTAAAATGCAGGGCAGAAGACCAAAGGGAAGACCACGTAATAGATGGGAGAACGAAGTCACAGCAGATGCGCACAATTTACTGAACGTCAGGGCTTGGAGACGAGTGGCGCGGGATCGCCTTTGTTGGAGGCAGAAGTTACAGGAGGCCAAGGCTCAATTTGGGCTGTAGCGCCATTGGAAGAAGAAGAAGAAGAATATTCCTCGATTGTACTATTTTATCGTAGGTACCCATGTCTATTTTATTTTGAAAACCTTAAGCCCAAATATCCAACCTGTGATGATGATTTTCCTGGAGATTTATTTAATACAGTGATTTACCATTGACTTCTATATTCCTATGCCTTCAGCCATTTATTTGGTTCACGCGCCGTTGAGGCCTACATCCGACAAGTTCATCCGACGTAAGATGCTTTATTATGTTATTTATGCAAAATATTAAAATAATGCTATATAATAATACTAGTATACACCTACTTGTAATAATCTTGAGATTCTGGTAGTTGTGTTCTTGGCTCATTCGCAATGGACCACATCACCACACTAGGTCGATTCTTGTCGCGGAGGAAAAGCTCCGTTAAAGACCTTTTATGATTTTCCAACAAGTCGTTACTAAAGTTTCTGCAAATAAAAAACATCAAAATAATAAAATGTATCAAATGAAACGAAAAATTGCATTACATATATCAATTTAAATACAAGTGTTGCAGTAGCAAGCACCATTCCTGTTATAACTTAGCTTATAAGTCACGAACGTGGTGGTTGAAGTCATTTTATTACTTTCTTCATACTAGTATTGTCAATAGTGATATTTTGTAAAAAACAACAGTTTTCCTTCATAACTGTAGCCAGAAATCTAAAAGTCATCTAGTTTTCAGAAGAATCCCCGCTACTAACTTAGTCGGAAATTATCGTGAAAAAAAGTCTAAACGAAGTGAATTAATCATAGTAAGAAACAAAATAAAAACGATTAAAGGTATATCAATAACAGATAAGAACTTCACTAGACTGTCTAGAGTAGGCGATCGCCACTGAGAAAAAACCAAAACAGTATAAAATCCAATACATAAAATTTAAAGTTGCACTGTGCATTTCTTGTTATGCGCCATTTCACAACAAATAAATTGCAATTTTTATTTTCCTAAACGTAATTATTTTCAATGTTTTCCGATATTTTTAGAATATTCATTTTGTGTATTTATCAACTCAAGTTTCTAGGTAAATGTTAAGTAGCTTCAATAAAAAGTTTTTTAAATAAGCCTTTTTAAGATGTATAGTTTCAGAAGTGATTGACAATTTAACCAGAGACCATAAGCTATTTTAATGACTTTAAATCACTGGTTGAACCAGTTTAAATCGACCCCCTTAAAAAATATTGAACTAGTCTGGCAAATAATAAATGAAACTACAAATCACAAATCACGCGTTGTAAATGGCCAAAAGTAGCCGAAAACACGTGTCTATCATGCATTCTCGGAAATTTTGAATTCGATCATTGGCGGCGCTTAAGAAAGTATGTTTCATTTTGGTCACTTTGCATCGTAGCAATAGAATAGTATATTTTAGCTTATATTAACAGAAATAATAGATTAGATCTAGTTTATAAAATAAGTTTTCATTCACATTAATAATGTGTAACCTGAACAGTTGTGTGCAAGTCGATATAAAGATGTAAAATACTGAAATTAGTATAATCTTTTTATTTCAGAACGATATTCAATTATTTAGTCTGTCAGTAGAAAGAGTGCTAGCAACCGCAGATGCTTGTTTGGTTTGTATGTACGTAATGTCTTTTAAAAACATGCCAAAACGTGTTTATTTAGAAGAAGTTAAACATCAAGTTATGCATGACATGAATCATATTGTTACAAGTACAATCCTCCTCCTCAATCCTTTAGCCCTTGTCAGGGCTTAGTGACACCCTAAATATTATTAGTCTGCTGTCTCCATTGACTGCGATCTTGTGCCATATGGACGGCTTCATGTAGGGATTTTCCCACCAAACTCTTCATTTGGTCCACCCATCGTATTGGAGATCTTCCTCTTGGTCTTCGGCCTTCTACCTTACCTTCTACTACCAATAGTTCTATGGTGCCCGTTCATCTAGCTATACATATACAAGTACAATACTCTCCGCAAATAATTCTACGTATAGCGTTTACGGTAGTAAACAGAACGAACGAAACTCAATTTCGAGATTTATTAGGTTTAGGTCTAAGAAAAATTTAATTCCCTTGAGTTTCAAATTAAAAGCTGAATAAGCAGGTTGCCTCAACTACACAATGAAGCAAATACTTTCATTTAATAATCGTCAATAAAAAACTAAAAATTTCGTCAAAGGAAGAACTGGAATACAAAGTAAACGTCAGTCCAACAAACGTCAGGCTATGTTATCAGTAAATGATAACACAGCCCAAAATTTGGTGCTTAAGAAATAAAGAATTATACATATTTTGGATGCTCTGACTTTAAATGGGACTTATTTTCATAGCAGTTTTTTTGGAATCATGATAGATCATTCTATTGTAGACTCAAGACACCAATCCAATATAATACACGTTCGCACCAGAAAAGGAGCATATGCAGGTTCTGATCACTACTAGATCGAAAGAAGGGTAAGGGCCAGAATGTTAAACGTTTAAAAGAAAATAGCTTCTAAACGTGAACGATACAATGTAAAAGGACTTAAAAATACAAACAAAAATAGAGAATATAAATAAAATTTAAACATCAAACTAGAAAACACACTAAAACATAAATTAAGAGTGGTAAGGACGCAGGAACATCATGAAAGAAGCAGCTGAAAAATGACTAGGCATCAGAATTGACAAACAAGAATAAGAACGAATGACTGTTTTGACGTAGATTATCACATTATAATAGAGAGAAAAAAACAAAGCATATTTAATGATACAACAGGGGTACAGAACCCGACAAGCAAAGGAGGAATATAAATAATTACGCAAGGAAGAAAAGAAAATCCAACTCAGAAACAAGAGAGAAACTTTGAACAAAAAACTTCAAGAACTACAAGATCTAAGTGAGACAATAAAGACGAACAAATTTTAACAGAAGCCGGATAAAAGCGAAAAAAATTTAAACCAATAAAGTGTAGAAATAAGTAGGGTAATATATTGACAGAACAGCAAGAAAAACTAAGAAAATTGAATTCCTGGATAAGACCAAAAATGTTTTAGATTATATTGACATACTAGATGTTCGTGTGTACGTTTAACGTACACTCTATTTAACATTTTTTATAAAAATATTACTTTTAATTATATGTTCTTAATATTCCGTACGCTAAATAAAATAATAATTCTCCGCTACTGATACGCTTTTTGGTAAAATTCATAAAAACAGCTAAATTATCCGATAACTCACGATATTACACGTATGAGTTATTTCATTATTTCTTTGCTGGAGCATAGTGTTAAACAATAAGTAAATGGCATTACATTAAGCATTATTAATACCTTGAGCAACTTCTTCTTCATATACCATGTTCTTTCAGAATGTTGATTACTATCATAGCTATCTTAATTTTATTCACTGCCACCCTAAATAGCATGCTTGTATCAACACCATACCAATTTTGGAAGTTCTTCAATCATGAAATTCTTCTTCGTCTTGGACTGCGTTTGCCTGCTATTTTTCCTTGCATAATATTTTGTAGCAACCAATATTTGGGACCTCTCATTACATACATACATAATGTACATACATACATAATGTACATACATACATTACATACAAATACTCCAGCTTTCTCTGTTTGATGCTTTTTATGATGTTAGTAGTCTTGCTAAGACGTTCTAGTATTGTGGAGTTTCGAATCTTCTCCACGCAGGAAACTTTTAAAATTCTTCTATAGCACTACATTTCGAAAGCCTCAAGGTGATTTTTTTAAAGTCCATTTCTCTATTCCGATTATCGAATATAGGCCCCTTCTAATTCTCACCATTCATCTCTGTTGTTTGTAAGACGTTTTCACATTGGCCCTGCAGTTTTTTTTTTGCAGTACAGACCCTGGCATTTGTGGTCTTCCTCGTGGTCTTTTGGCTTCATATGACTGTCAATTTCCGATTTATTTATTCCATCGGCCATCAGTAAGACGTTCATTATGTTCAGCTCATTTCCATTTTAGTTTAGCTGCCTGTTCGACAGCATCTTTTACTTTTGTTTTATAATATAATAACATTACATGATCTTCTCCATGTTTATTTTACTCAATGTCTAGGTTTGAGCTCCATATGTATGGCCAGGTAGGATACAGGAATTAAACACGTTGGATCGCAAGACGATTTAGATCGATTTTATTCACAGTCCAGGACTCGACACCATAAAGTAAGACCGAGACCACGTAGTAGCGAAGTAGGCAGATCCTCAATGCCAGTTTTAGGTCTCTGTTACATAACACCTTGGAAATCCTTCTAAAAGCAGCTCTAGCCTTCTCTATCCTAGATCTAATTTCGCCATGACTTTCTGCGTTACAATTTAACTGCTGTCCAAGGTAACCGATTTTATCAACTTGTTCAGGTTTGGTATTATTTACATATATAGACGGTTTTATATGCTGTTGTTTACTTATTACGAGTATTTTGGTTTTCCGTATGTTCAGATCCAGACCTGCCTGCCTACAACTCTCAACGACACTATCAAGTAGTGTTTGTAGATCTTCTTGACAAGAAGTTACAAGTTTTTCAGAAACTGATGTTGTTTGTTTCCAATATAAATTTGCAATTATTCGAACATATCTGCCGTCCAAGCCAACGTCTTTTAGAGCTTTGATCAATATAAAATGCTTAACACAATCAAATGCCTTTTTGAAGTACATAAAACAATAGTATATGTCTACAGATATATCTCGACATCTTTGAGCAACTACGTTCATTCCAAACAGTGCCTGTATCGTTACAATCCCCTTAGGAAGAGCGCCCACCAAAGTGGCGTGGCAAATGGCAAGTGGCAAGTAGCACGCGTCTAGCTTAAATCAATGGGATTTAATCAATGAATGGGATCAACGAATGATTTAGCGCACACCAAAATGATAGTCACGTCATACATTCTAATAATTCGTTTCCATTGGTTACATTTTAAATAACATGCTAGAAGCGTGGTACTTGCTACTTGCCACTTGCTACACCAGTTTGGTGGGCGCTCTCACTTACGGAAACCAAACTGGTCTATAACGTTAATTGAAAGACTGTGGACAATTATTATGTAAACAAGAAATGTGTATACAAGAAACACCATGAGACTCGTCTGAAGAATGATCAAGGAAACTACGTCCATACACAGGAAGAACTAGCTAAAATCTGGGCAAACTATGCTTCGTCCCTCTTTGCGGATAATAGACCGAATCTGCCAACTACTAACTTACCCACGGAAAATTTATCCGCCCCTCCCATTATTCGCGCCGAGGTGGAGTACGCTATAAATGTAGCAAAACTAGGCAAAGCCCCTGGACCGGATGGAATTACTACGGAAGCCATAAAACTGTTGGAAGATGATAACATCGACATGCTGGTAACAATTTTCAATGCTCTGTATAACACCGGCCACATTCCAACGGATTGGCTTTATTCAACCTTTATAATGATCCCTAAATCACAAAGAGT